GGTTCATCGTCATGGCTTGCTAGTTCTTCGACATAATCAGGATCACTACCAACGGCAACTTCGGGCAAAGTCCTGTTCTTCTTCCTTTTGTCTTTCCTGACTTTGGCCTTCTTTGATGACTTGCTCTCAGACCGCCGGACGATGTCGGTTAGGTCTTCCAGCTCGTCACCACTTTCACCGTCAATGACCATCATGTTTTCACCCTCAGATGTGGAACATTCATCACTAATGACGTGGATAATCTTGGCAATTTTGGATGATGTCCCTTTCTTCTTCTTTTGATCAATGTTGATGTAAGGGATGTAATCTCTGACAGTCATTTCGATGTTGTCGCCATTGGGGTCAATCATATATGGTGTCTTCCCTGATGGCCAGATGAATGAATACCCAAGATCAACGCAACGTTTCCCCATCGACATCACCGATGGAGTGTCCTCCAATATGTGTGCATGTGCAGGTTCGTCAAAGGCTTCGAACTTGATGTCAGAACGTTTGGTAGAACTTGTGACGCCATTGGCAGTGTGGAAGTTCACCACCACGTCATCATAAGTTGGCAGATCCATTCTGTCGATCTTCTTGGCGGATATCAGGTCGTGTCCGCTCCCTGAGTCCATAATGAACCTCTTGTCTCGCTCCTCAACTGGGACCGTGATGCACATGACGTTGTCCCTTTTCCCGTAGCGCCCATCAACATGTTGGACATAATTCTCAGTGAATACTTCACGAGCAACATCACCATCATCATCATGTTCCATTTTGATCATAATGTCCAAAGTTGGGCCAACGATAATAAGGACTTCGTCAATGTCACAGTAGTCATACTTCTCATCCAGAATAATAGCCATTGCCTTCCCACGACTTTGAGCAAGTCTGCAAGAGTAGGCCCACTGTTCATCTTTTCTAATCTCATCAGTGGTCTTGCACAGTTTGTTGTGCTCTTTGGAATGAGTTTGGGACTTTCGTGAGCACTTAGTCCTTCTTCTCATAGACATAGACGTCATCTTTCTGTGGATTGAACTTCACCTTCTTCTTCATTACATTTGAAGCAATCGTGAAAGGTGGCTCATCCACGTCGCTGTCGTCGTGGAGAAGTGCAGGGGCCGCTTTTGATGACGATGGAGATTCTGTGTTTGGTGCAGTGTTGAACAAATGAGCATCATGTCGTTTGTTACACTTGTCACCATATCGACATTTGCCTTTTGCCCAGTGCCAACATGGCTCGTCGATTTTATTGGTCTTGTTAGCTGGGGATTGTCCTCTGGGCGTCTTGCCGCCCCCTTTACCATGTCCACCGCTCTTGCTGGCGTCAAACACCTTTTGATCATGGCTGTACTCACAGTCCTTTCCTTTCCTGCAAGATTTCTTGATGAAATGGAAGTGACATGGTATCTTCTTTTTGTCGCGAGGACTGGCACTTCGGCTCTTTGATTTTCCTTTTCTTCCTTGCCCTTTTCCTTTGGCATGTTGCTTTGGTTGAGGTGATGGTAGTACAGGAGCAGCATCAGACTTTGCTTTGGGCTTCGGAGCAGGCTTCTCCTTTGCGTTGGCCTTTGCTTTTGCCTTGGCGTTCGCATCAGGAGGAGCTGGAGCAGTTGGAGTAGGCGCAGTCGGCCTACCACCGCCGGCAAAATCTCTGGCATACTTTTCCCTGGCCGCGACATGCTTGTCTTCTCTGATCCTGGCAATGTGGCGCTCAATCGCATTGATGAGGTACTGGTAAGTTCTCCTAGGATCTCCCTCCAACCATGATTCATATTGCTTGATGTCATACATCATCAAATTGGAGTTTCTGATCTTCTTGTATAATGCATCACGCAACCAATCATCTTGGGGCACGTCCTCAGGCATCATGTTGGAGACAATCTCCATCCACTTTTCATAGAACGTTTCAATGTTGGCGTCACCAAGGTATCGTGATTGAATGATATGCTCCATAGTGAAGGCAGTCTCACGTTGACCTGGTGTCCTGAAATGCTCCAGAATCATGGCGAGAATCTCTCGCCCCATGACAAAGGTTGATCTCCGATTGCTGGCTTGGGTTCTCAGTCGAAGCTTGATTGCAACATGTCGAGCTACATCACCAGCTTGCGAAATAACATTAGATAGTGCAATAGAAAGCTTTGCATCAATCGACTGAAACCTTTGCCCTCCGCTATCATTCAGAGCATCGATGTCAGGGTTTTGCCTGAGCGCAGGTTGTAACCAAGCTTCCCACGCGGCTCGATCGCCGTCGTTGGCAGCGAGGCATACGCTTTTAATCAGATCAGATTGCCAAACTCCCAGATTCTGGTGCTTTGGCCACGGACTGATGTAGACTTTGTCCGCTTCTCGTCTGGATATCCTTGGAGGTTCTTCAGCAGTGAAAGCAGTCGTAGACTCCAAATCAATTGCTGAATCCCTCTGCGATCCACGGAGTGAAGGCAAACCAGGTGGACTGGGAGGTCCAGGAGGCCCGTTAGGATCAGGAGGCCCATCTGGGAAGTTAGGATCATCGTTGCCGTCAGGTCTTCGATAACTTGGAATTCCTGCCCCTTCATCCACGCTGACCCCTTTTCCGTCCAGGATCTTCTTGTTGACCTCACGCAGGAGCTCGGTCACTCTCTGATTCTCCGGATGTGAGGGTTGCTGCTGTGCATGTCCTGTACCCGCGGCAGTGTTAGAATGAGCCGTTGCTGATTCGTTGTTGAGCTCGTCATCAAGCTGTCGAATCCAAGCACGTAGAATATTCGACTCATCATTTGCCGCTTCAACCTCACTCTCCAACTTGCCGATCATCATGTAGGGTGACAGTGCACTGCTTGTGATACCTGCAGAGAAGGGAAGTGCATTGAGATTCTCTTGGCTTTTGATGGCTATGTCTGTGTCTATGAGACCTTTCCTTAATCTGGATATCTCCGCATCTTTCATCACCAATTTCTCATCCCTATCTCTCAGCTCACCCAAATACTCACATGATCGTTCATATTGCTGGGCTCCTGTGGCTAGCTTGTACTTACGTTCACTCTCAAGCTCTGCCCTAAGGATGGCGACCTCGGATCCAAAGGGGGTCGCTGACCCTTGCCTCGAAACCTCGGCCAATTCGTCCTTCAGTCTGATGTTTGTGTACATACATTCATCCATTTCCTCAGAAAGATCTTGGGCCCTAACCTGTGCGACCTTAACCTCAGTTTCGAGGTGTTGTATGGCATGTTGGTTAGAACCGTGGCCGATGGCCATTGGGCCCTCCTGAAGAGACCGTCTCAGTTTGACGTTTCGGTCCTCGATCTCTGTCTTGAGCTCATTCGTCAGCGCTCGCTCATTGTTGTATAGCATCTCATAGTGCTCCATCTTCTCGCGAGCATTTGAGCTGACGCTTGATTCAAACCTCAATTGAGCAATCGCCTCAGCCTCGGTATTCCTGTAATTTGCAAACCGTTTGACTGTGTCATGTTCTGTGTTTCGATGACGTAGATCACTCTCCAGTTTAGCATTGTTGGCTTCATTGATTTTCTTGCGATACTCTCTGGTGATCTGCTCCATGTTGTTTTCATACAACTCGGCTTGCTTACGGGAATGACTGATTGCTTCACTCAACATTTGGTTCTCATCAGTGAGCTCGTTGACAATGAAGGCTTGTCTTTGACTTGTCATCTCCAAATGAGTATGTGAGAAGTTTGCCAGTTCGGATTGACTACGATATTCCACTATGGAACTCTCAAGATTTCTCTGCATCTCGTTTCCTTCCTTGTACAATGTTTCGGCTACACTCCTAGCAAGGCTACTGTCATGTTGCATCTGTTGAAGACGTGATTCAGTATGCCCAAGTAGTCCTTGAAGGTGTTGCACCTCGTCCTTGTACTCTTCCTGGATCTCAATACCACGTTGGTGGATTCGTCTGGCACCATGTTCAGCGAGTGCACCTCGACGTTCAAGTTCTTCAATACGAATGGTTGCACCTTCATCTTCCTTGGAGGCTAACATCAACTCAGCATGGTATTCAGATACTTCATTCGTCGAGTACATCAATCGTTTATTGAGGGTGTTGATTTCATTGAATACCTGTTGATTGTGTCCACGAAGATATTCGGTGAACTTGGCCTCAATGTCCTTAATGACTTGATCCCTTGAAGCTGCGTGCATCTCGGTTTGTGTCACTTTCTCTCTCAGAATTTGACATTGCTCTCTAAGTTCTTCAATGATAGCTATTGGTTCACTGCTACCACGTGCTTCTGTTGATCTTCTTTGGGCACTGACATCACTTGACTCCCTACCATGTTTGTCCTCGACTGCCCTCGGGGTCCTGTGTCCGGTAGGTGTCCTTCTCGGTGATCGGTGGCTTCGTCGTGCATTCCCACTTCGAGCCACATCACGTGCCGATCTTGGAGTACTGGTGGTTGATGCTCTTCGATGTCTAGAAGTCATCTTTTGCCATCCAGACTTTGTCGTCCTTATCGACTTTTCCCCGCTGTCAGCCGTTCCTGGAGAAGATTGTGATATACCTTCTGCAGGGGCTGCGGCGTTGCCGTCAAAGGTGAACTGCGTCTCTCCGCTGTCGCCTTGCATCTTTGCGATGCTGGTGCTGATCAGATTTCACGATCTTTTGCACCCAACGTTGGTTAACAGCACGCAGGTACTCCGCCTCCGATGGAGGTTGAGAGCCCTTACGGCTGATAACCTGTGAACAGAATGATCCCTGTTCCGGATGTGGTTCAACTCGTTTCAGAATACCTTGCGTTTGTGTTTACCAACGTTTCAACGGCATGCAGCGGAAGCGCAATTGATTTTCCTTGATATGGGCACTTGAGCCAAACATTGCGTTTGGCGGTCAATCCCTTGAAATACAATGGGAAGTATGTATACTGTATTCCCATCTAGTCCCCATTTGCAGCTAATATATATATATAATTATGTATTATTATTTATTTATTTATTTATATATATATATATATTGTAGTTGTCCAATAGTTGTCCCCTTCTTAACAGGAGCATATCCCCATTCTCCGCTGACAAGTCCCAGAGGCCAAGCGCTGTTCACTCACCGTTTTTCGGGAGATCAATCGCACCTGGCAGCCCAAGGTTGAGGAGATCCTGACCGTCGCGGCGACCGTTGTTGGGCAACGAAAAGTGGCCGAAAACCCCCCAGAAAATGGAGTTTAAAGCATTGAAAAGGAGAAATTATGGGCACTTTGATCATGAAAGCCAGGTGAAACTGAGTGAATTTAGATGGACATGTATCTACATTTTCGTGGATGAAGGTCGTGTAACAAGTTTTTTGATGTTTTTTGGGGAGTTGAAGCCAACCAGAATGGCAGGACTTTGCCTGCATTTCTGTAACTAGAGCAAAGGCATGAATATCAAAATGTATCCATATCAACTGCCCCGTTCTGACAGAATGCCATAAATGTGTTGGGGGTTTTCCCTTGAGCACGGCCGAAAAGACGGAGCAGCTCCACGAACGGTCTGTGAACCAACAGAAGTAGATCTGATACGAACGGTCCTCCATTACTAGCAACATGAAGCAACAAATCAACCACTTTAAAACCGTTAACCACACATAACCACACCACATTCGAAAAAAAAAGTCGTTTCTAAACAGTTTTAAACAAACCGCTGCGTCTTGACCAACACTTCCTGCTCTGCCAAGAAACTGCTTCAGTTGCGGGCCACTCTTGTTGATGATCACCCAAAACCTCAAGAAACGTGGCAGGTAGCTGGTCCAAGACTTCTGCCTGCAGGTTGTTTCCCAGATTTTGTCCAGAGGACTTTGTTCAAAAGGAATCAACACATAGTTCATGTCAAAACCCACGGTTTCCCATAGATTTGTCCTTGAATACATCTAGTGATTGCTGGTTGATCACGAGGATGAACTGTATAATACTGTATATGACATATACATACCACCCAACCCAACGGCACCCGTCAGAGATTCGCCCCGTTTCTGGGACAACTTGGATGGCTCAACGCCGTGGAAAAAAATCTGGCTTCCAGGGTTCCAGCCGCATTTTTCAGGGCGATCCATCGGTCCATCCCATTTTAGTAAGCGGTAAGTGGGGTTATAAGCTACTTATAAATGCGAAAATCATAGATAATCATAGGCTCGTTGGTGTACCTACCCCTCTGAAAAATGATGGAGTTAAAGTCAGTTGGGATGATGACATTCCCAATATGATGGGAAAGTCATAAAAGTCATGTTCCAAAGCACCAATCAGAAAACTTACTTTTTAACTTGTCAAATCAGGTTTAACATGTCTTACCTTCCGAGATAGAACTAAGCTTAGATTAGAGAATCTATCATGAAGTTAGCTCCTTGCTTTCCCATTTAAAGGGGAATATACAACCACAGCTCCCAACAGCTCCACGTCCAGAAAAACTCTCCTGAGCTATGCATGTTTTGCCCGCTTAAATTCGCCAGTAATAAGATGCAATAACCACAAATCATCTGGGTAATTTAAAATATGTCACTCACCTGAAATGTTACCATCTGGTTATTTAACAGTTCGCCATGGAAAATCACCATGTTTCAGTTCGGCAAACCATCTATTTCGATTAGGGCCATGGCTTCCATGGCTTCCCCGGATCCATTAGGATCCATTCACCGCCAGTGGTGCCACCGAGAAGCCGATCTGGCACCACCATATGCACCTGCATCACATCCTGTTGCAGGCTGGAAGGCAAGACCTCACCTGGGCGTCGTGGCGTTGCGAAACCGCCTTGAAACGAACCCGGGAAAATTTTCAAAACGTACCATTCGGCGAAATTTCGATGCACCCAGTTGTTTGAAGTTACAAGGTGGTGTCCCGATGTGCCGCCTATAGGTAGCCAAGTTGGCTTACAAACGTGTTAAATAGGATGTACTGCAATATACAGTGTACCCTCTGGTAATTTAACATAGCTATTGAAAATGGTCATTTATAGTGGATTTTCCCATTAATAATGGTGATTTTCCATAGCTATGTTAGTTTACCAGAGGGTATCTATTTATAAACCAACTGACAACTGGAGGGGCGCCACTTTGCATTGCTCGTTCAGTCAGAATTCCAACCAACTGGGATGATCCTTGAACTTGGTATTTGAGTTGTAGCCCTCATTACAAGGATACCTGGGAATCTGTCTATGAATATCACCAAAAAAACATGCAATGTAGAAAAGAACATGATAAGATCAGTTGGATTAAACATATCACATAAAGGGTGTGTTGAATAATCACTAGCACGAATAAACCTGTTGAATCATCACAAGCATGAATTAAATCTGGTGCATCACAACTAGAATGAATTGAACATCATGGCTTGATGTTCTATGACGCAGCCATGATGAAAACAACAAAGATTGCTTGAGCCAACGCTTCCGTTCAGTATCCTTCATCTAGGATCCCTTCCCAACCCCAAGATATGAAGCTGTAGTTTGATCTGTTCACAATTCAACACCATTCATTCAACACGTATTTTTCCCCGAAAAAAATCTTAGATGTTTTTTTCCCCAAAGATTTCTTAGATTTTCCTAGGGTTAAAAAAAAAAAACATTCCGTCCTGGAAAGCGTTTCCCAGGTGCTATGGGAGAACATCATCGACATCGAGCGCTTGGAGTTCAAGGCTGGTACCTTAACGGGTAGAGCTCGACCACCAGGGGGAACAGTCGCGGAAAGTCATCGGGGATTCGGGAGTCATCCCCAAGTTATCCAAGTCCCATTGATACATCCCATGTTTTTTATGGTTGAAAATTATGTTTGAATCAACCAAGTAGTCGTCTAAGTTTGGTTGAGCAATTTCTATCCATTGCAATGTTTGATGGAGATTTACTTGGTGAATTTGACTGGGAATTAGATGGAACAGGAGGAAAACAAATGATGCATGCACCAGTAACACCAGTATGGATTGGATGTTTTTCCTTTTGAACTACCCAGAGTTTGCCTCTGCCATGATTATCTACTTTTTCATATGATCTTCATCGTCTTAACCAAGCGTGGCCAGCAGCTTACCCTTGTGTCGCCACGTTGCCGGTTGCCCCGGCAGCGGCACGCTCAGTGGGCTCGGCGGCGGGGGAGGCGGTGGCTTTTCGGGGGTCGCCGGGGTCGCCTGCCACGGTGCCATGTGGTGCCCCATAGTTGGCTGAGTTGGCGAACATAGGCGATGCAACCATAGCTATATCACTATCCACCAACGTGAAACTAACTTAATTATATACATCTATATACCATTATCTACTATATACCATCGTGTTTTTGTTGATTGATATAACTATGTATACATAGTTATGCTATAGCGTTTATGGTGATTCTGGATTGATAAATCAACTTACAACTGCGGGCGTACCATATTGCAGAGCTCTTGGTCCATGTCTTTAGTTCTAGCTATGGTGCCATTATGCATAGAACAATGCTCTTCGTTCATGTTATCATCTTACATCTTTACCTTTGGTGAATAGTTCAAATGATTCAAATGAATAGAAACTCAAGATATGGATTTGTATTGATAATTGGGAATACACATGGGGATACCTCAAAATTGCAATAGGTGTAAATTAGTACATGCAGGGATAGATACAGAACACTACTTCCCAAGCCTGATTTGCAGGATCGGTTCAAGGATTTGTTGCAGGTTTGATTGATTACATTCCAGTCTTGGGCTCTCCAGTTGAATTTGTTTAACCTTCAAGGCTGGCAAATCCAACATCTTTTTGGTACGAACTACCCGTACGCTGTACGTTCCTCCTACGTACTTATTGTTCTTTCCGCCAACTAAGAACTCAACAATCGCGCTGGTGAAAACATATCCCCATTAACTATAGATATAATCCCCATAAACCCTGGTTATTGGACTTATAAACCAACTTAGCTAACGAACTGGGGCACCACCTTGTAAGTTCCATTAGTTCATTTGTTCACGTCCCACTTTTGCCATCCAAGTAATTCATGTCCAAAACGCTGCCATTGGTTTTTGGTGCAAGTACCCACAATCAGTTAAACCCCCCAAAAAAAAGACAAAACACATATATAGAGTACAAATCAACATGCTATGCGTTTCAGGTGTTTCAGGTGAAGGCTTCATAATGTTGTTTTTTTAACTTCAAAGGTGCGCCAGCTGCAAATGTGCTACCGCTCAAAAATCAGACCTAGGATGGTCTAGTGATGTTTGTTGCGTCCACAGTTCTTGCCCATAAAAATGTAGCCCTCAAAGTTCTCAACCGTTTGACGCTACTGTAAATTCCATCAAATATCAACACAAACTGGTGCAGTGTAGTTGTTTGTTTTGTTACCAGTGCCTATTTCTTCCAATGTTGATTCGTTAAATCCACCATTTGGAACACTGTGGTGCCCCCCCATCATAAGTTGGTTTATAAACCCCATTGTAAGCGGGCATATATCTACCAGAAATCTAACAGTTATGCTATACACCAAAGCAGTCCACTATGTGGCACCATCTTATGATACCAAATTCTATCGGTATTACACTATAATCATTATTACACTTATACTGATAATTACTATTAGTTTATAGTATTAATTAATTACTATATCATAGAACATCGTAAATATCATGTCAAGTCTACTCATATTATACGTAATTATATAGTTAGTTACGTCAAATTTCAGTACATCTCCAATAATCTCCCATGAAATACCTATAATTTCTACCAATTTTCACATCATTTCCAATGACTTGTGGCATTCCCCATCCCCTGGCGTCCCCACAGTCTGCGTCTCGGCTTCCGGCGGCGGCGGCGGCAGCGGCGCAGGCGTCGAGGAACTCGTCGTCGCGGTGGGTGGCGTGGCGGCGCCGTCGCGGGAGCGCGGGCGATCGCCGCGGCCGGTGGAACCTCGGTGCTGCCAAGGGGAGCAACAAAGATGGGGTTATTTTTACCTGGTTGGTGGTTCAATGGATTGGTTTAAGGGAAAATCTACAGGAAACCATGGTTTTTACCATCAAATATAGGGGTTTCCTGTAAATGTTCCCATCATCCAATTCTATGAGTGGTATACCTACCCCTCTGAAAAATATGAAAGTCAGTTGGGGTTACTATTCCCAATAGATGGAAAAATAACATTCATGTTCCAAACCACCAACCAGGGGTGATATTTACAGTGCTTTCTAGGAAACAAGGGTCTGTGGATGGTCTATGGCAGATAGATCGACAGTTCATTGGGTTGATGGATCACTATAGTGATTGAAACTTGAAACCTATCTTTCTTTGGGGTTTGCTATAATACTACCCCCGAGTAAACTAGCAAACATGTGCAAAATCCACCAAATTTTCGATCATTGCTTGTGCAAACCACCGATATTCTATGTATCTTTTCTAATTTCCTGGTAATTTTCAGTATGATGAACCAGTATCAACAATAGATTTAACAACACTAGCTATGCTAGTGGCAATGCTGATCAATGTTGACCTCTTGCACACGGCTCCTACGGGAATCATGTCAGGTGCTGCAAAAACTTCAAAGTGTTCAAGATTGGACATGAAACTGTTTGTTCAAAGGGAATTGTTCCGTCCAAACATGTCAAGACCCTTGGGATAAATCACCTGCCAGTACGTTGCTCCATGGCTGCCATGGCCCCTCGTCTTCGCCCATGACCCGTACGAATTTGGGGGTAATGGGTCGATAAAAAAGGGTCAACAAATAATACAAATGCTTTAAAAGAACCACTATTTTCCATAATTCAATGGAAATTTCAGGATCCTGAAATGGAGGTACTGGTACCATATATGGCCATTTCTATGGCCATTTCCATCATGTGTTCCCCTTTTTGTGGCGATCATGTGGCTATCATTTAGCATGGCTGGGACCCTGATCCGTGCCGCCACGGCTCGTTTCACATGCTCCTCTGATCCACCCCGCGAGTTGGCTTCGACCTGGCGGGAGCCCGGACAGCTCCAAAAAACAGCCAATGGGAAACCCAATGTCAACAACTACCATGTGGGGATGGTGGGTAAATGAATATTCATGATTATTCCTGATACCTATATGGGGTAATGGGGTGATGAATGAGTATAATATGATATTACTTGATTCATAATATGATAGTTTATAGCACCAAAAAAATACGGCTTCTTTGGGGGATGGTTGATAAATTGATAAATGATAAACAAGGTGGATACACGACAACGGGGATACGATACGACTGCAATGCCCCCACTTTGTCGCATGAATATCCATTGTCGCATGAATAGGGTTCCTCATAGTATCTCATTTTTTCGCGTAGCATCTAAGTGCCAACCTGTGTGATGTTTCAAGCCCAAACGAGAAGAGAAAAATGGAGAGTCAAACGGGATGTGGCCAAAACTTGTGCCACTAAATGCCATTAACATAAAGCAACGCGAGGTTTGCCCCTTTGTTGCCAGGGCTTCTCAAAAGGATTTGCCCCACACGGCCTGTATCTTTTGCCCTCCAAACCCCAACGTCGATGAAACTCCCACCCAGTATACTCAATGTTTGCGCGTCAGCTCCTCACCCTAGTTTGGTCGTAAAGTCATCTTAAATAGCAAATGTTCCCGGATAAATCATGATAAATCCACATGTTTCCTATTCAATTCCATCAAAATCCTGAAATTTCCGGGTCATCTCCGCAGTTTTTGCTATAGAATCCCTCAAAATCCCCAACGATTTCCCCACTGTTCCAACCCTTTTCCCTCACCTTGGGCGGCGGCACGGCCGCCGACGCGCGAGCTTCGGCCGTGGACGCCGTGGACGGCAGCCTGTCGGCGGCGGAGGTGACGGAGCGCGTGCGCTTGGGCTTTTCCTCGTCGTCTTCCATGATCCTGGCGTTGTTTGAGGTGATTATATCACCATTGGACCATGATCTAACCAAACATATGGTGAAAATTGGTGAAAACAATCACCTTAAGGCAACTATGTTCACCATGTTCACCAGATTATAAACACATCTATAGGGAATCTGTAACCATAATTTAATAATTGCCTATAGATTCTATAATCTGTTTTTTCATTGCCAGATGAATTGTGATGAATTGGACAGAGGGGATTCAACCAACCGATGGGCTCATCAATGATTTTTCCATGGGCTTAATGGGGAATATTGTGAATGGACAACATATACCATAATATTACATCATATCACCATAATATTTTTCCGTATATTCACTTATCAATGGGCAATTAATATATATATATGGTGAGATTATACCCAATAAAAGTAAAATATAAATATCATGACTTGTTCATGGCCTGATTCACGGGCAACTCATGACACTGTGTCACAGGAACACTCTCGGGGATTCAACGTCATTCAACGGACCCCTGGCTTACTATAACCATTCAGGGCTTCCATTAGTGGCCTACCATCCCAATATTAATCCATATTAATCCTGAAATGGGTCGCAATCATGGAAATCATCGGATATAACATGATATAACTATGGATGAACCGTGGTAAACTACAATAGGAATAGAATGGACAGTTCAACCAATTCAATAGATCGGTGTTTAGGGCAACGCACACATACCTGCTGCCCAGCATCGTTTCGCAGATCCATTCGTGTCGCGCCAAGCCAGCTAAATCCTGGGCTGCTGGCTTCTGAAGGTCAATGGGTCTATCCGAAAAGTACCCCAAAATCCACTGCTTAATGCTACGAGTAAATCATTCACAGTTGTTTCCTCATTCAAATGGATATTCCATTATAAACATATAATACTAGTTAACCAGCATGAATATCCATGGTGAATGTCCATTCTAATCATGATTCAAAGATATTCATCGATATTTCGATGGTTAATGGATACTCAAATGGACTTACATGGCCGTTGGATCATTGGCATCCACTGGTTACTGGCCTTAATAAAGCATGGATGGTATGGGACATGGCCGGAACTCGAAAGACAGCAAAAAAAAACTCGAAGCGAAACTATTTTGGGTACCGGTATGACAATACTTATACAATCTTATACATCTTATACCAGTATGATTCTGATCATTTCTGGACGTTGTTAAATGTGCCGCAAATACACAGTGTCGATGTGAAAATGTTGACCCCCAAAGATGGTATCATGTAACATCTACCCTCTGGTAATTTAACATAGCTATTGAAAATGGCCATTTATAGTGAGTTTTCCCATTAAAAATTGTGATTTTCCATAGTTATGTGAACGTTTACCAGAGGGTACAAGTGTGGAGAAAAACAAAGTCTCCCCTCAACAAGGTCTCAGCGGCCAAGCGTTTCAGTGGCTCCAACTGCAGCAGTCCCAGCAACACCGACTTGGAGAGGTCGCTGATTTTCCTCGCAGCTTCGATATCGAATCTAGTGAGGATGCGTATTGGATTTTTTAGGATCCATGTATGGTATATATGCTAACATTATTGATGGTAAATGTTACCATATAATACCATATATAGCATACATGGATCCTATGGGGTATGCAACATTTATTTGAACATCATCGAGATATGAACCCGCACGCCGGGATTGACACCTTGGAACTGGCTATCTCCTGATGCCAGTTTAGTCTGGCGTGAACTTATCCGTTTTTCCTTTACGGATCACCAACTAATCCCCGGGATCATCCCAGTGCTGACTCCAAAAATCAGCGGGATTCCGACGACATGTTTGGCATATGCACGATGTCTTCACCAGCAAAAATAGTAGATGCAGGGTTCCAATGATTTTCCTCTACATTTAGGTGAATGTCAAATACATGCCTATTAGTACTGACCCATCCGTAGCCACTTTTGTATTCGACCTGCACTTTGTCACTCATCTGCGCCAAGTAGCTAAGCGCTCTAGCTAAGTCAAGGCTTCTTAGGTCGGAACTCGCAAGTTTTGGGCCAGCTTCAATCATGTTTGGGAAACAACCATACCTGGATGGAAAATCCTGGTTTTACGAATGCAACCCGATTTGGTAACGAAACCTCACCCCTATATATCTTTTCTGGAAAGCCAGGGTGGGGATGGGTGCGGCATCAGTGGAGTATTTCCGAGTGACAACACTTGATCAGCTTCAGCTAAGTTGCAGCTTCCCAACCAAATGTTGTAGCTCGTCTTGCCTCAGCCATGCAAACAAATGGTTGCATCTTGCATATGCCATTTATGGATTTGCATGTTATCTTGTATCGCCGTACAGGGAGCAGCCACCACCACCACCACGACAACAACAACAGAGCTATGGTTGCTTGACATCACTGGGAAGATGCAGCTGCAGCTTCCAGTGCCGGCAGCGAGTCTCATCCGTTTGAAACCCGTATCCCAAAGGAAACTTGATGGCTGACACACTGACACGATAGCATATCCATGAAACAAGTCTCACACAAAGGCATGGGTCACATGTCTGAGGAGGATCTCTTGCTTGTCCATTGGCGTTTGGAAATGTTTGGAAGCGTATCTTTGTTGCATTTGGTCTCCTATTTTGACCCATCTCCATTCCCTGGAATGAACTGACTTCTGATTCATGATGTAATTCACCTACCTGAAATGTGGTGTTCATTTTGGGCTCTGGTAGCCTATTTAAAAACCGGCATTTGGACTAGGTTTCTTCCCTTTGAAATTCACTAAGATGGCCAACCATGGTTAGCGACTGAGGTACTAAAGTAGCTATCCAGGGCTCATCAAAAGCTCCAGTGGGTGATTCTCCATGCATAACTGCTACTTGGGGCCAACCATGTCCACTAATAAGTGGGCTATACAACCATAGTTAAGTAAGGCTTTTTTTAACACCATATCCCAACTTATGGAGGTGAAACTCCCATATAGTTACATTTTTATCTAGAGAAACCTATGGAAGTTATATCATGCTTTTTGTCGGTACTCAAAAATCCAATAAATGAAAATAACTGGCTTGTTATACAAGTAAGATTCGCCCAAAAACTTCTTGGGGAAGGGCTAGCTTTCACCATCCGGACACATGTTGACCCGGTCCCAGCGTCTTGGTGGGGATCTTGTTGAAAGGGAAATGCCCCGCCAAGAGCACGAAGAGCAACACGCCCAAACCTGGCAGGCTGACACGGGAAATTGCAGAAACGACAGGTGCAAGAGGAACTACTGACATCCAACAGTCCAAAACTGCCTAATTATGTCACAAAACTTATCTCAAAACTCACTGCGCAATCATCTAGTCGTTGAGCTATCACATCCAGTCACATGTCCTTAGGAAGATGCCAAGCAACACCACAGGTCAGAACTGAAGTCGTGCGAATCTTCTCCTCAGGTTCAGTTGCTGTTCAGCCGACAAACATGGCCCACCTCTGATGCCATGTTTTCAACACCGAAACCTGCGCCAACCAACAGGTATGACCCCAAAAAGTCTTCTTTCACAAAGGCAAATGTACCAGCACCAATATCTATCTTATCTATCCATCCATTTATCTAACTAACTTTCTTTCTATCTAACTATCTATCTATCCATCCATCTATTTATCTAAAACATAAAAGTGTAATATATATATATATATATGTATATATATATATATACATTGGTTAAAAGCTCTTTGTGACACTCCAACTCCAAGCAAGCAACATATTTCCCCACATGTGCTCTACCAAAATCAGCCCTGTCATGTAGCTAAATATCTCGGCAGTATGGTTGACCAAGTCATTTTGAAAGACTAATTACGCAGTGAGTGCTTTTGCGGCAAACCATATCTTCATGGGATCATATGACCACATGGTGGTTTCCTAAAATGGGGGTACCCCAAAATGGATGGTTTATAATGGAAACTCATCTTTAAATAGATGGTTTAGGGGTACCCCCATTTATGGAAACCCTCACTTGTGTCGGCAACCCAGGCCAATTTTGAACGAGGGATCCTCCAACATGAAATGTTTCGCCAAAACCAAGCCAGTACCCTTTAGCATACCAACAAACTATACTGGAATGCATGCGTTTCCGTAGGAAATGATCGACAAATGATAAATTGTCCGTATCTATGTTAGCTTACTAGAGGCTATTTCGCGTTTGAAGCACCTTAAAACAACAATCAATGGACTTTAAAAAAACATTGACATCTGTCATAGCAATCCCAAATACAGGATAGAAAAGTATCCAAGTCATATCCTACCCAGAACAGTTGCAAAACGATGTTCTACCGTTGTTCAACCAGTTACCATCTGGTTATTCAACATAGCCATGGAAAATCCCTCATAAATGGAGGTTTCTAGCTGGGAAAATCATCTATTTCTATGGGCCATCTCTACCATGGCTATGTTAGTCATAACCAGAGGCTATATAACCCATTAGCATCCCATTAAATCATCATAACATCACCATAAAATCCCTCTAAAATCCCATTAAATCACCATAAATCATGGGGTTTTGGAAGGTTTCCCATGGTTTCCCAACGTCGTCATTCCGAGTCTCTCAGGACCTCCGGTGCCGTGTAGGGCCGCGTGCCCACCGTGGAGCGTGCTTCGCTGAAGCCGGCGCCAATGGCCTCAGTGGAGCGGTCGCGACGGGTGAATTCGTGGCGCACCACATGGCAGGTGTTAAAATGCCAAACTTGGTGGGATTCAATGGGATTTTATGGGATTTATAGAGATTTAATGGGATTTTATAGAGATTAAATGGGACTTCATGAGTGACTTCATGGGATCTTAATGGAGGATTTCCAGTGGCCATGATTGATTACCGGTGGTGAAGTCAGGAAGAAAATACACATTACATGGAAAACGAAACAGCTAAAGATTAGAACACGTCTAGTGCAAATTTCGCGGGTACATGTGGATCAAAATTGCTGCTTTGACCAGCTAGATATAATGAAACCATGCTAGATATACAATTCTACTCAAGCAAAATGATGAACTCTGGTGGTTTCTTGGTGCTTTCAATGCGAAAATGTCCAGAAAACCCACAGACTTTGAGCCTACCAGGCCTACCACCTCCACGGCGGAACCGCTGCGCCTTGGAGAGGCCAAAGTCGGTGATTTTCACCGTGTAAAACACCAAGGGTTTCTCACCTGGGCTGCGGGCCGGGGAAAATGTGTAACCGTGTAACCGGGAAGGATTACCAATAAATAATAAATTTAAAGTCCGTAAAGAACTATAAAACCATCCAAAATCGGGTTTTGATACTGTGTTCTTAGTCTGAATGCTGATAGGGATGTGAAACATCAAAATCGTAAAAGAGGAGGGTTTTACACAATTCCAAGCATCATGAAATGGGGAAGTCTAGCTGATACAGCAACATATCCTACCCTCTGGTAATTTATTGTAATTTAACATAGCTATTGAACATGGCCATTTATAGTGAGTTTTCCCATTAAAAATGGTGATTTTCCATAGCTATGTTAGTTTACCAGAGGGTAATTTTGTTTTGCAAATTCTTGGGATTTCTTGGGACCCCAAGAAGATCCCAGACATCCTGCGAGTGCTTCGTTTGAGGAGTATTCACCCTGCGAACAGATTCATTTTTGGATGGGAGAGAAATATATCCCTCGTTCATAGCTGAAAATTAACCTAATCACATCTATCAATACCAAACCAAGGTTTACCTGGTTTCCTTTGTTGAATGCAACATAAAAAGCTTGCACAACAAAAAAGGTGCCAATTTGGACTGGCCTTGAGCCTACAAAAGCACCCTTACTGTTGTCGATCAAAGGTGCACAACTCTACCCAAATACATACATATATATATATTATATGAACCAAGTGTTACAGTAATTCCATGGCAAATCTCTATGCGCACCGAAGATTTACCCCGAAAAAATGCGATCAAACCATCAACTCATTCAGCAACCACCAAGGTCTGGCGTTTTCTATGTCACAACTCACCAACCTTGGTGGCACATTGGGCACCCAAAATTTTCATGCAACCACCAAATTAGATCATGTCCCCTCTGAAAACGTCGTTAAAAATGGCATGAAAATGCCATATGTTTCCCAAATTCCCATCCCAACATCGACATCTTGGGGCATCTCCCGTCTCCAGTTCCTCCTCCGGGCGACGCCGCTCGTTGGCCACCAGGACATTTTCCAGCTTCATATCCCGGTGGATGATGCCTTGACCTGTGAAACAAACGGAGGTTACCATGGGTTACACCATTAAAGACATGGTGCTTCAACGGGTGGTTCAACGGGTGTAATGATACTTTTTGAAAGGGTTAAAAATGGTTAAAACATACCGACCTTGTAGACAGTCAGCAAACTGGATGAGGCTAACAGGCAGCAAGTGAATCGAGCTGTTTTGCAGATCCTTATCAAATCCGCGACATGTAGCTCCTGGTTTTCACATGATCAATAATTAGTTGTTAATTAGGACATATATAAGTCGTTAATACGATTTTATCCCAACACAGAAATGAAACCCGAACTAAAATAGCGACTCATTACCGATGTCCCAGTTTTCCTCCAGGATAAGATTGCCACTTGGGAGATCTTGGGAGTGGTATGTTGAAAATTGACCAACTGTTGCCGCTTACCTACAACAGCTACTTGGTTGCCGCTTACGTGGTTTGTAAGTAGAATCAAACCAATGAAATATACCGTACCCAGTTAACCATATTATCATTCTTGTGGATGCGATATGCCAAATACATCCAAATACCACTGATTTTCATAGTGATTATTGCTGGTCAATTCGTTGCTATCAATTGGTCCCGTTGGATGATCCAAACGTTGCAGCAACACTACTACTACTCTTGAGGATTCTAAATACCTTCTGATAGCCAAACTGTCACTAAGATCAAAGGGTGTGGGGCAAAACTAAATGAATATTCGTGTTAGGTATTGAACATATTGCATAACTAGCGTTATTTGAGGGTTCCTTTAATTAAAAAATAGTGCCAGGCCGTGAGAATTTATTGCTAGTGATATTTATGCAACTCGATGAATTACCTACCAGCCACCATTTATAAGACAGAAAAAGTATCACAGAATTGACCCCGAACCTTTTTTTTACAGATTCTTCATTGCAACGTAAACTGTGTTTACCCGTTTTTTTCTGCACGAGCGGTGTGCATATGTGTGTGTGCGCAAATTGCAACACTTCACAAAACAGAAGTAAACTTGAAGTACAGTAAACAAGTTTTAAGATTCTTTTGCGGCAACCCACAGATGAATTGAAAGGACTTTTCACAGGAACCAGTTTTTCACCTTCAAATATAGAGCGACAGTCCCCTTCGTCCAAGTCTGTCAGTTAATATCTCACATAGAACTGCTTAGGAATTGAATATGTTGGGATAATTTCCCTGAAACTATCATGATTGTATAATTATCATGGATGTATAATTATCATGGATCTAGTGTGATCTACTTGGTTTTGTTATTTTTTGTTGGGATATCTTGGTTGCTCGATTCCAGTACTAACATCCCTGGATGGCTCAGCCGAGGCGCTGTGTAGAAAGGATAAGCCTTCCACCAACTGTGCTACCACGAAAGCGGCTTCCCGCTCCTGTGATGAGTTCAGGGAATCTGGAACGAGAGTTCTCTTTCAGTGGATTTACTTGAAATTTTCATGGGATTTTATAGCGATGTATAGCGATTTAAAAATATTTATATAATTATATATATATTATTATATATTATATATGTTTTAATTAAATGGGTTTTTATAGTAATTTAATGGGATTTTATAGGGCCTTTTATAGTGATTCAGTGACACACTAGTGGGATAAATAACCGTTTTATCGGATATTCATGGTATATACCATCTGATAATCAAACGTGGCAAAAAAAATAATTACTCCCCATTTACAGATTACTTCTCAGCTAGAAACCTCCACGTCTAAGCCATTCTATTCGCCCGGATCATCATGGGACGATATTATTAAGTGAGCATTAGTACAAACACAACCATAGGTTGTTTCCTTGCAAACGTGGAGGTGTCCTGAAAAAAGTTGTTTCTCAGGAAGTCTAGGGCACCATTGGAGATATTCATGAAACCCAACCGGGGAACTATGAGAAACAAACCGCAGTACTGGAACATCGGCCGTAAATCTGGGTCATGCGTTGTTTCCCTGGAAAAAACATGAAAAAAATGCAGGTCATCGGCCAACAAAATGGACACTTCAGCCCATTTAGGTGAAATCGGTGGACTAAATCCACTGAAATTAGATCCACTTAGAGCATCTTAGATTAACATAAATAGATCTACTTTAAAAAATGGCTATCAAAAAAAAAAACATAATCCACTTAAGTATACTTAAGTGGGGTGAGCCATCTCAGGTTTTTGGCTAACCGCCAACCAGTGGACGGAGCTGGTAATACGCATCAAATGGATTGGTTCAAGGGAAAACCTACAGGATACCATGGTTTTACCATGGTTCTACCATTCTGTACCTTTTGTTTCCTTGCGCCAAATCTGGAAAGACATCAGAATCATTTGCATGCGATGAATGGCGGGATTTTGTGAACATGATGTTCTTCAGGCAGGCATTTGTGGTACAAGTTGGTTTGATTTGCGGCAATGATTTCCTTGGATTGAGAAGCTTACACTTGCCAAGAAAACAAAGGATGACAAAACAGAGTGTGTGAAGTAGGGAAGCGAGCACGGCTCAACTTGCGTTTGGGGATGTTACAGCTCATAACCCATCTGCTAAGCACATCCTCTTAAGACGTTTTTGGCGTGACCCCCGGTAAACCCTACAATGTGGGTAAAACAATAATCAACCACCCAATCTTTAATGGTTTATACCTATAAAAATGGTGATTTGGCGGATGGTTTATGACATTGTTTTACCCACATTAACAAAACATCAGATGAAACATGTTTTGCCACAAACCCATGTCCCGTCATGACCCCAGCCGCACGGTTTCCTGTAACCTTGGCGGTTCTCGATTGGTGAGCACCGTGTAGAGATCTCCACCGCCCACCAACCTGGGCACATCTTTCCAGTTGGATTCTTTCAAAATGATGAACCCAACCAGGGCTTATAATAAACCACCTTCAGTCACCTTCAGCAAATTCAAAGTTGTGAGTTGTATGGATCCCTAGATCCCTAGTGAAGAGATCAACAATGATCAATATACAAGAACGTAGGTAACCAATGTACCCATCCAGGCTTTAATCAGCAAAGGATAACAACGGCAGGTCGGGCTCGAGCCCCCTTGTGCTCAGCCCAAGAGACTCTAAGACCAACAGGAACCAATCGCCATCCTCAAAGGTGTCGATGAGCCTTCGGGGCGGGGAAGTTCAACTCAAGGAATTGGAAGCTAAATTCAGCTAAGAACAAATAACTGGACTAACCCTACTCATCCATCTCATCCTATACCTGTAACTGGAGTTGCTGGAGTTATAATTTCTACAAAGCCATAGGCTTGAAGTTGCCCATCGGAATTAAATCAACTTCAACTGGAAACCACGTGAGCTGGCTCAATCAGATAATCAGAGGGATCATCCTCCACACAAGCATGCGAACCAAAGCATGAAAAAAACAAACAAACCAGCCATCTAAACCAAGCGAGTGTTGGTTTATGCTTACTGGGCATTGAAATGAGAAATTCATCGAACTAAATGTGTGATTGTCCAGCAAACAATGATTGATTATCAGCATTACCAAAGGGTGAATGTAGCTGCTTATCAGCTGGGAATACACCTCCCATATCCAAGTTATATATACACATAATTGTTTTTTGTAAAAAATGCTAATGTTAACACATATGTATATGTATAAATATATCACATCTATATCTGTATCTACATTTAACTTTATAATCACAATACATGGGACGTCCCGCATGGTCATGGTAACATGTTCAGCATCCTGAGGTAACCAGGTCAAAGCAGGAATTCTAGTTGTGTGTAGTTAGATCTATAGATAGGCAACAGCTAACAACTACATGCAAATTAATTGTTGTGCGTTGTTAATTGTTAATTTGCTGTTTAGTTAACAGTTATTGTAAATCTAACTAAACAAATAAGCATCCTCTGTCTGAGGCAGTAAGGAAAACACACTATGGGACACAGTGGGAAATAAACAAGGAACACAGGCCATGCACCTGCCAGGTGTGTTTGTACAGAAATTGTTGCAAATACCAAAGCTACCCTCAGAGATTGGAAGGCCTAAGGACATTTCATAATATTCTCTGTCTCTAGAATGAGCAATCGTCAAGAATATCACACGTATTTCTATGAAGGGGCTTTCCCCGGCAATCTCCATTGTATTCCCTTCCGGAACTAATCAAAAATTAATAAAATAGTTAACTGCTGAAAATCTTTGCCATTTTCCATCTGGCCAGGGTAGATTAGAGCACAGCTGATGGTTGTTCATTTTGTTTTGGGAGGTGACCTGGTAGCCAGGTCTGGCTACCATCGGACCTCATCAATGGTAATCTAATCTGACCATCGCACATGTTGTTAGTGATATAATGTTATATATATATATATACCAGTGCATCCTTCGGACTTCCCCATTGCATCCTCATGTTTTGACCAAAAATTATTCATGTTTATTCACATTCTACCTCCATGAACTCATTATGCAACCATGTTTGATGGTGAAATTGTCAAATTTTTATTTGCGGCGATAACACACATAATTACAAAGTGACGCCCCCTAGATATTGCTAAGTTGACGCAAATAACTTGGTGAATCCTAGGTTTTTCATGGTAGATAACCATAAATTCCATGGGTTGTTGAAATATAGTCCGATGATAACCCCAAAAAAGCAACAACTCTGCCTGCAGCCTAGGCACTGCACAATGTTGGGATGCGGCGGTAGTCTTGTCAGGATCTCCACCTCCCCGTGGTGGATGTGTCGATGGGGCCGTGGTCAGAACGATGGGGGAATCAATGGCCATTACAGGCACCTACCAGGACCTACCATATACAAGGCGTATGTAATCAATTGCCATTCCAGGAACCCAAATTGGAGGTACCTAGCATATATAAAGCCTATGTAAGGGCTATGTAAGGGGACATAGCCCCAAAATATGGCCAGAAATATGGTACTAACGTACCTCCATTTTAGGATCCTGGAGATCTCCCATTGATGTAAGAGCTATGCAAGGGGATTTGCCGTATCCTGAGAGTCTCATTCAAACATTGGACAAAAATTGTCTTGTGAAACAAGAGGGGCCGGTTTGGCTACATACTGGTTGTTAAATGGGGGACCTTCTAATTAGTAGGAAAAGAACATCTATGGTATGAATAGGATATTTCAAATGGAGAACATGATGACTGTTCAATCTATAGGCATCTGGGAAACTTATAATCATTCACATTGATACACCTGAAACAACTCTAGTTTGGAATATGCTCATAGATCGAAGAATCTTGTGAAGGACAATTTGGCCCAGAAACACGTATTGAATTGTAGAAGACATGGTATCCCGTCAAGTTTCCTTCAATCCAGCCATCGGTTCATGCTGTATCTCCATTCAATGTGCCGAATCTAGAAGCCTTCACTGGGATGAGCCTTGATATGGGCAGGGAAGACTGTCACTAAAATACCCGAAGGTCCAGGGATGGCCCACGGACTTTTGCGATGCAAGTGCCATCCTCAATGCTTTGTGTCAAGGTATAGTGGTACCGCGAATCTGGAGTCGACGTTGCCAAAACTGGATCATGGCTGTACATCCTGCAACTGCTTGACCAACTCATGGTTGGAAGCAGCTGGCGCCCACCGACATGAAGCTATTATGATATGAAAATCACTTCCAAGTTTATAAGTCTGATACAGATGAAGATCTCTACAAGCTTTCCCATTAATCCCATCCCAATACGAAACACTCCTGGAAACCATGGTCTAGTATGGTCTAGTGAGATTTACACGTATTTGGGACCATGGAACGGGGGTGTTTAATATTAGGTAGATGGGATTATACTGGGTTTACTCTAATTATTGTACCATGGTGTAAACCCCAAAAACAAGTTACTTAGTGAGAATAACTCTGATGTTTATCGATCATTAACCACTATAAATAGCCCATTCTTTTGTCATATTAATCCCATTATAGTAACTATTAGATCACCACTTAATCCCACTAATCCCACTTAAGCCTATGAATCACCGTCCATGATTTCGTCATTAGTCTCATTTTTCATCTCTGTCATCAAACCCCCACACCACCATCTGGTTGGTGGTGCAATAACCATCTTGAAAAATATGAACGTCAATGGGAATGATTATCCCATATATTATGGAAAATACTGGTCGGTGGTTGAGCCACCCCTCTGAAAAATATGAGTTCGTCAGTTGGGATCATTATTCCCAAGCTATGGAAAGTCATAATCCAGTCATGTTCCAAACCCCCAACCAGATATTTCATTAAACATTATTAACCACTATTAACCACTATTAATTGGGAAACCACTATTATTGTCATAAAAGTCATGTTCCAAACCACCAATCAGAAAACCATCAATCATGGTTTATACCCTATTAACCACTATTAACCACTATTAACCATCATAACCACAGCACCATCCATCCGTCTCACCTCGCGGCTCAGCTTCTTCTCCTCGCGTTCCGCGTTCGGCTGCAGGTGCAGCCGCCGCAGATCCACGACCTTCACCGCGTAGCCGCCGCCGCTGCTGGAGGTGTCCCCCTTCTTGTGGCACACGAAGACCTGACGCGCGGTGAAGGGCCGGAGAGATGTGGTATACCCGGCCCAGGTGAATATTCCTTGGTGTATGCTACATTGTTTGACAATTTTCATATACAATACCGACAATACCAATATTATATTATGAGTTAAGTTATATATCCATTGTTAGCCATTGTTTATTTTATATAGCCTACCCATATATTGTTGCTTTGTCTGGCGTTTGTTTTTAATACATGTTGGTTAATACACTACAGAAAAAATCCATATATCATAATATATCTAATATATATATATATAATATTATCTAATATATATATATATATAATATACAGGCTAGCCATATATCATAATATATATATATATGTGTGAGTCAACTATCCATTGTTTTTCTGTATGCTGTTGGTTAATACATGGTTAATAGTCTGGCTTGGTCTGGAAATGGAGGACACGACTTAACCATTTTGGGCCATCTGAATAGGGAAATTATATGAAAAAAATGCTTCACCAGTGGATGCTTTGAAAAGAGAAATCCACATGTCCATACAGGATAGGCCCAATGGGCCCCCCCAGTTCTAAGTTGGTTTATAAACCCATATAACCCCCATTAACTCTAGTTATATCTATAGTTATATCTACCATAAACCATAGAATTCAGCCACTTATAAGGCAACTTAGCTATCTTGGGGTGCCCATCCTGTAGCACTGTTGACGGTCAACGCGTCATCTGCGCACATTGAAAGCGAGTCATCTGCGCACATTGCAAACGAGTCATCCGCGCACAGCGAAACCGCGTCATCCGCGCACAAAGAGCGGTCATCCGCGCACATTGATGCTGGGAACTAGCCATTTCGGGCAAGCTAAACCTCTCTCTTTCATGTTCCTCTCTCTTTCATGTTCCAGTGGGGGGGGTGGGGTGGGGTGGGGTGGGGTGGGATGATAACGTTCATGTTCCTATGCACACACAGGCACAGCAACCTCATCATCTTTCTTCCCGTAGAGCAGAGACAGGCACAGCTCTTTCATGATCAGTTACCGGTGGGGTGGGGTGAGTTAATAAGGTTCATGTTCCTATGCTGCACACGCACAGCAACCTCATCATCTTTCTTGCTGTAGAGCACTTACACGCACTGCTCTTTCATGATCAGTTACCCTTGGGGGGGTGGGTGGGGTGGGGTGGGGTGGGCTGGGATGATAACGTTCATGTGAGATGAGTTGTGTAAGATGAGTTGTGTGACTTGTGAGATGAGAGGAGTTGTGTGAGTTGTAAGATGAGCGGAGTGGTGTGAGATGAGTTCTGTGACTTGTGAGATGAGTGGAGTTGTGTGAGATGAGTTGTGTGAGTTGTGAGATAAGTTGTGTGAAAGAACTTGGGTGAACTTCAGTGAGAGAACACGAAAGCAGCTCCACCAAATGGCACACGAAAGCAGCTCTTGAGTAAGTTGAGTTGTGTAAGATGAGTTGTGAGAGATGACTTGTGTGAGATGAGTTGTGTGACTTGTGAGATGAGACGAGTTGTGTGAGTTGTGAGATGAGTGGAGTGGTGTGAGACGAGTTCTGTGACTTGTGAGATGAGAGGAGTTGTGTGAGATGAGTTGTGTGAGTTGTGAGATAAGTTGTGTGAAAGAACTTGGGTGAACTTCAGTGAGAGAACACGAAAGCAGCTCCACCAAATGGCACACGAAAGCAGCTCTTGAGTAAGTTGAGTTGTGTAAGATGAGTTGTGAGAGATGACTTGTGTGAGATGAGTTGTGTGACTTGTGAGATGAGACGAGTTGTGTGAGTTGTGAGATGAGTGGAGTGGTGTGAGACGAGTTCTGTGACTTGTGAGATGAGAGGAGTTGTCTGGGATGAGTTCTGTGAGTTGTGTGAGACAATTTGGGTGAAGTTGAGAGAGAAAGAAGCAACTCAGGAGGAGAAGGAGGAGAAGGCAAGGAATACAAACCTAAAAACAAAAGCCCCACACAGAGATGTGAGGAAAAAAACATAACTTGATGAGTTGTGTGATGATGTTTAAAAAAAGCTAGAAGAAGAATCATGTTACAGAGATACAATGACAAAAACACACAACAAAAACGTGCACAGACGACCAACCGTCTGACGTGCACAAACGACCCACTTTTGACGTGCACAGACGAACCCCGAACCCTGTTGACTCCCTACAGACACATCGCCACTCTCGTTGCGCCTGTCCAGAGGCGCCACGTCCCAGCTCACGGCCCCGGCGGTAGCCGTGGAAGTAAAGCGGGGGACCCGCCTGATACCACCAACGAGATGGGGATTTAATGTGATTTTATATTGATTTAACAAAAATTAATGGGATTTGATTGGATTTTATGGGATTTAGTGGTATATCAATGGGGCAGTAATGGGATTATAGAGTGATTTAATGGGTTTATAGTGATTTTATTGTGACATATCTGTGATAAATGGAGGTTCAATGGGATATTAATGGGATATATCCTCCGGTGTCCTCAAACGTGGCTGGCCAGAAAATCAACTAATCATGGGCATTGATTTGAATGGGAACATTGTCTGTAAATGTGGGATTTTCCGGCAAGTCGTGTTTGATTACTGGAAGGTACCACGAACACATGAGTATGGGTAAAACTTTCAATGAAGAATTCAGAAATCACTATCTTATCTACTCGCTACTGGCTGTTACAGGCATTGGGTGGCACTCAAAATATATTATATATATTGATTATAAATAAAGGAACATGTCAGGGATTGCCAAACATCTTAGATCATGTGCCACAGATCTTCAATTTCGCAGCTACGGGTTGGACATAGCCTCCAGCCACTAGTGAAGGTCATGTCCAAAGTACAGTTTGAAAATCTGGGTTTTGTATTGGATGTTGTCATTATTGGGCTCCATATGGGATTGCAGTACTGGTTGTGGTTTGAAATCTAAAATGTTACCACACCATTAAGGTGATGTTTTTCAAAACTATCATGTGGATCATTGAGTTTCAAGCAGCATAGCCGTAGTATGCCGTAGTCATATACCCTCTGGTAATTTAACACAGCTATTGAAAATTGCAATTTAGTTCGTTGATTTACCCATTAAAAATTGTGATTTTCCAGTTCGTTATGTAAACGTTTACCAGGCCGGGTATGTCAAATTGACCTAAAAATGGAACCTCTGACACAATTAGACACATTTACCAAACTCTTTGGACCCTTGGGCCTTGGGCCACCTTGACTCACGAAGTAAGTAATGACTCACCGGGCGGTAAAAATTGCCGGTTGAGTCAAGTATCAAGAATGGTTGTTTGAATGATTCACTGGGCATCAACGCTGGTTGATTGCTATATAGATATATAGGCTACAACAAAGAACCGCCACTCGAGCCTTGTTCACCTCGACCAAATCCTGCAGCTTGCGCAGCGGCTAGCGTTGCCCTAACATCAATCTTCAGACTGCGAAACAGTAGCAGGGAACACCCCCAAAGTGGGGTTTAATGGAACAAACACATCTGCATAAGGAAGATCCCAAGTCATCTAAGTCATTTTCCTTTCTTCATCGTTGATTTTCAGCGGGCTATGCTACGTCATCGTTTGTTCTTCACAGCCTCAAGTCTCCAAATTTGGCGCATTCACATCCATCTGTGGCACAAATCCAGCATCATCCATTAAATCCATTACCCTGGCGTAAACAAACTCACATAGATGTGGAAAACCCATGGAAAACCCATGGTTTCCCCAGGGTCTACGAATGGGGGTTGTTTTCAACATCTATGTTACTTTACGAGCGAGTAAACATCCCCATGGATTAGCCCTCTTCTTCCTAACCTTTTGGTGCCTTCTCAGCCTCCCCGCCCCGAACAGATCCGACAATTAGAGAGGCTGCCAGCAGGCCTTTGTCAACCACAAAAGTACCCTTCTACTAACATAGATGTTGAAAACCCACCATTTCTAGATAATGTTCCGAACATTTCTAGAAGTTATATATGGTTTTTCCACGATTTTTTTTGTATAACGTTTACCTCACGGTCATCCGACGTATAATGGCTATACCAGGCATACCAGTTGACATCATTCCCCAGGTTCACTGCGCCTGGGACATCTAATATATCTAGACGGTTTTCCTGTCAAGTTTCCCTTGAACCAATTCAATGATACAATGTTCTACGAACACATCAATAAACTCATCTACGACATCTATCTAACATCAATATGATTTCATATAAATAGTTTTAAGCTGGTCAATCAACTCATATACGAACATGATTTTAAATTAACTTATTCAACACTTTCACCAGCTCAGGTTCACCTCAGTGAATTGTTTTTTTACCACAAAAAACATGCCTTGATGCTGAGGTTTGCTGAGGTTTGCTGAGGTGCTGAGGCAGGAATCCCCCATAAATAGATGATTGTATCCACATTCTTTCCATCAATCAGATTCAATCAGTTCATTCTATCCCCAATTTCAGTCAGTACATCTCACTCAACCTCCAACAATCTCCAATTTACATCTCACTCAACCAACATATCAACCAACCAACCTCCAACAACCTCCAATTTCCCCAACATATCTCCCAACCAACCATCCACCAGCTTACGTTTCGCTTTCGCATTCGCACCTCGTCATCGCTTCCCCCGGTCACATCCACCACCTCCGTGACCAGGTCGTCGCTCTCCACGTGGAGCTCGTCCACGTGCACCACGTCGCTCATCCGCGACGAGGACGGCGCCGAGGCGGCGGCCGAGCCGCCACTGGTGGAAGCCATGGCGGATCATATGGCAGAACTATAGCGGCATAATATGAATTAATGTATATGAATGTATATTAATGTATATGAATTTATATGAATGTATATGAATGTATATTAATGTATATTAATGTATATTAATGTATATTAATGTATATGAACGTATATGAATGTATATGAATGTATATTAATGTATATGAATGTATATTAATGTATATGAATGTATATGAATGTATATGAATGTATATGAATGTATATTAATGTATATTAATGTATATTAATGTATATTAATGTATATGAATGTATATGAATGTATATGAATGTATATTAATGTATATGAATGTATATGAATGTATATGAATGTATATGAATGTATATTAATGTATATTAATGTATATTAATGTATATGAATGTATATTAATGTATATTAATGTATATTAATGTATATGAATGTATATTAATGTATATGAATGTCTATGAATGTATATGAATGTATATTAATGTATATTAATGTATATTAATGTATATTAATGTATATTAATGTATATGAATGTATATGAATGTATATGAATGTATATGAATGTATATTAATGTATATTAATGTATATTAATGTATATTAATGTATATTAATGTATATTAATGTATATTAATGTATATTAATGTATATGAATGTGTATTAATGTATATTAATGTATATTAACGTAAATGAATGTATATTAATGTATATGAATGTATATTAATGTATATTAATGTATATTAATGTATATTAATGTATATTAATGTATATTAATGTATATTAATGTATATTAATGTATATTAATGTATATGAATGTATATGAATGTATATGAATGTATATTAATGTATATTAATGTATATTAATGTATATTAATGTATATGAATGTATATGTAATGTATATGTAATGTGTATATTAATGTATATGTATATGAATGTAATGTATATGATATGTATATTAATGTATATGTATATTAATGTATATGAATGTATATGTATATGTATATTAATGTATATGAAATGTATATTAATGTATATGAATGTATATAATGTATATTAATGTATATTAATGTATATTAATGTATATTAATGTATATTAATGTATATTAATGTATATTATATTAATGTATATTAATGTATATTAATGTATATTAATGTGTATTAATGTATATTAATGTATATTAATGTATATGAATGTATATTAATGTATATGAATGTATATGAATGTATATGAATGTATATTAATGTATATTAATGTATATTAATGTATATTAATGTATATTAATGTATATTAATGTATATTAATGTATATTAATGTATATGAATGTATATTAATGTATATTAATGTATATTAATGTATATGAATGTATATTAATGTATATTAATGTATATTAATGTATATTAATGTATATTAATGTATATTAATGTATATATATGTATATTAATGTATATTAATGTATATTAATGTAAACGTACTACTGTAATCATATATTAGTTACTTATTAGTTACTTCTTAGTTGATCACAGCATAGTTGTTACTGATTAGTTGGTATAGTAAAGTTACACGTAGTGATCTACTAATAAGTAAACGAATATGACTATCAACATTTGGTAATTATATGTAACTAATACACTATTAAGTTGATAGTTTCGTTTAGATTAGAATTAATATATTAATATATCACTAGTGTAATATTACGATCAACTCCCACCATTTGCCCCGCTAATATTACTAATGCAACTAACAGAACTAGTGGTCCTTCTTTTTTGGGATCTCTATGTTTGGTTCAGAAGGCTAAGATATCAAGATAGTAGGTAATATAGTTACTGCACATCCATTAAGATAAGCAATATAAGAACTTTTGATGGTTTTTGGTAAGTGTAAATATACACATGTCATGGGTTTGTAGATCTTTAATAAGATAAGGTTGCTAACCATGAGATTTGGGGAAGCTCTTGTTTGGGTGTTGTGTATGATTTTTTTGGTTAGGCTGTTTAATTGTCTTCTATATGTGATTTCTGGCTGGCTTTCCATGGTATTAGAAAGGCATCCAAGGCTTTCTCAGAAAGGTTGGTTTTCGAGTTGGCGTTTCTGCAACAAGCCTTTGATGTTGAACGGCCAAAGGGATGTTTTTTGGGCATGGTACCCTGTAGCAGCTTGGCCCTCGGATTTTTTGCAACGCCTGACACTTTATGGGATCTTGAGCCCTGTTCGGCTGCATGATTTCTGAATCTTCGACATGCCACAATCGATTGGAAACAATACCCACAGGTGATGTTTTTTTTTTTTAACAGCCTTTGTTGGAGGCGCATGTTGTTCTTTTTGAGTGCCATGTGGGATCAATGGATACCGCCACTACACCGACAGGGGAACTTGGGGAACCTGCTATCCCACGGGTAGACAGAAATGACACAGAAGGGCAACGAGAACACTTCAAGCTATAGGCCATAAAACTGTTTCGTTAACTGGTTGGTGGTTTCAACCCCTCTGAAAAATATGAGTCAGTTGGGGTGATGAAATTCCCAATACTGGAAAAAATTCCATAAAAACTGGTTGGTGGTTGGTGGTTTTAACCATCATGAAAAATATGAGCCAATGGGAAGGATTATCCCAACTGTTGGTGGTATATCTACCCCTCTGAAAATATGAGTTCGTCAGTTGGGATGATTCTTCCCAATATATGGAAAAATAAAATTCATGTTCCAAACCACCAACCAGTTGTTAATTAAACACTTTCAAGAAATATGCCCAACTCTCTACCCACTTCCGGGTGGCCCAATTCGGGTGACCCTCTCTAGCCACAGAAGGCCACTGCAGATTTTTCGCAATCTATTTAAGTGTCAAAAAGGAAACACCTGGTTTTTTTTAATGACTGGATCATGGCGATAGGCGATTGGCATTTAAAAATCAACTGAGTCATTTTCACTTTCTGGTTTAGTTTCAGCAAGCAAAACTCGGCTAAGACCCAAATTTCTAATGGGTTGCCCGGAAGTATTGTTGTACAAATGGGCAAGCCATCACAACTCCGACCATCGTGACTTGAGGTCAAGATTCCGAATGATGATTAATGATCGAAAAATATTTCAGCGCGAAAAACCATGTGTGTATATATATATATATGTGTGTGTGTGTTGAAGCAAACTGGAAAAACTTGGGGTTTCCATGTGAAAACGCCACAATAAGAACAACCATGGTTTTGGTACTGCTCAACGCCGCCCAGCGCCAGCGCACCCGCGTCCCGCGACCAAGCTGAAGTGGCCGTTTCCTCGCCCAGAAAAAAAATGGGGGTAGTGGTGGATATTTTTACGCCCTGAAAATCCTATGAAAACAGGGGGTTATAGTTATCAAAGGAAGTTTAGAAGTCAAATTCCCCCTATTCATTAGTTGTATATATATAAATATATAATTACTTAAATAGTAATAACAATAAAACTAATAATGATAACAATAGTTGGGTAATACTGGCATAAAATTATAGAATAGAGGTATATATGAAATGGAGTGAATAGACAACAACATGATCATTTGGGTTTGAACCGTCGGTATGTGCCCTCCAATTTATGGTGAATCTTAGATGACAAAACCATATTCGCAGGAAGTTCAGCCAACCCGCAAAATGAACTGCCCAAGTTGTGTAAAGGTTGCTTAGCAATCTTAGTATATCCCCTCTTTGGTCCAAATAATACATTCTGTGAATGGCAAAATAGGTGATGCTCATCTACCAATGTGCGATTTTCCATCGCAAGGTGAAATTTTCCAGAGGTTATGATGTATTAAACTATAATTATCCATGTGATATTCCCATATATTTCCATACATTCACATCATCTCGCCAGATGGAAATACAGTTTTAAGATCCAAACATCATCCAAGGAGTACACACACGGCCACAAATCATCCCAAAGTTTGGTAGTTGTTTATGGCATTTGGTGAATCCCACATTATATCATATCCCTATACTATATTCATGTTGACCATCATCTATATTTTATATATAATCCAAGTTGGTTATCATACCCCCATACCAGTTTTGGTTATATCCCCATACTGCAAAATAATCATCATGAAACCATATTAAAACTGATCATGATAGTCCTATCATGATTATTTATGCCAGGTTTATCCCCAAAAAGCGATCAGTTTTAACCTACCAGGACCTCCCCAGTTTTTACGCATAAAAGCGCGAGATTTCGGAACCAGGGCACCATTGATGTCGCAGGACTCTGCCATGAGGCGACCCCCTTCGGCCTGGCAATGGAGGTACTAGACTATACCATATAAGGCCATATTATGTGGGAATCATCATCATCATCATCATCATCATTCTTTGGACTTTTTTCCCTGAATATTGTTACTTCAAGTTTCGTGGTGTCCTCTAGTATTAAACATAGATTCGCTGAATTTAGCTAACCAAGAATCGATGATCATGAATGTTAATCTACCATCCCCCACAGTAACAAATCGACCCAGCCATGAATTGCATTTTGGAAAACTGCTTTCCAATTCGAACATGGGAGCTATTTTCATCTATTTTCCCTTTCCAGGTCTAAGTTGGATGGGGGAATGGAAGTGGGTTCCTGTATGTTTGTCCTACAACAAGCAAAGCCACATGAGGATGTTGAAGCTGTATGCATGTGAGTTCAAATCCGGAGGAATCCTGATCAAGCAACAGCTGCCAAACGTAGACATCGAGAAGAAGTATACCAAAGACAAACACATTGTAAATAAAGGTAAAAACTTCATCGAAATAAACATGTACAACAACAAATGAAGACATAAATAAACAATGTGGGTATAAGCATCTAAAAATACAACCAAATCAATACATAGTAAAGTAATAGTCATAGTAAAACATTAGTAAAACTAATAGGTCGAAAAACACATAATTCATAACCCCCCAACAGCCAACATAGACAGCGCACATTGCCCCGCCCCAACTACCGAAACATGCGGGTGAAGCCACAAAGATCCCTCCTTGCAGGTTCCGCTGTACATGGCATTTCACCTCAACCATGGAGGCTGGGTAGAACGGCTATAAGGTCCACCTCCAGTCTTTCATCGCACTTTGGGGCTGCAGGGGTTACTTGAATATAACTAGTCTGGATGTTTAACCTCCAATTGAGAGATGGGGCTCACAAGTGTGGTGAAATGGAAACTTATTAGTGAAACTGCACCTAGTACAGTAGGTCCCCAGCTTTGGACTAAATCATCTTCAGATGCGTTGGGATGTAGACCCTCCAAATGGGTTAGTGATGCAACTCCCAATCTCTACAGACTCTACTTGGTGGTTTGTGAATATCCCGCCAACTCGCCAACAGATTCATTTTGAAAGCTGAATGTGCGGCAAACTCGCGCGTTGAAACAAACTATATTAAGGTAACGTTGAAACTATGGGCTTCAACAAATTTGATCCATGTGGCTGGGTTTGCCTCTGAATATCTCCTTAGATACGTCTCGCTCCTTAGCTCCCTCCTAACCACTGGGTCGTCTAAGTGGAGTCAGAAGGGCGTCTAAGTGCCGCACCATGCAAGCACTGCCCGGTAAGGAGATTCCAGCACCTACCGGTCAGGGGTTGCTTGAGCTTGAGAACAATGGGATTGTAGCAGAAAAACACAAAAACCATCCGGCTTTAGATTTAACATGGAAAATAACTATACTAAATCTACACTATATGGTGAACTATGTTAAAACTACACAATGTAAACTATCGGTTTAAAATTGTTCAGTTTCTGTAGTTTAGCTTCCACATCTGGGAAATTCACTCCTTGCTCCTGTTGCGTAGGTGGTTACAACTTGGTGCTCAGCATCCAACCCCAACGAATCATTTTGAATCAATCAATCATCATAAATCAATCTCATCCCTTCCTGCGTTCATATTAAATACACATCCCACCAGAAACCATGTTTTAGTAGGGATCAAATCGTTTGGGACGATAGGACGGGGGTGCTTAATATAAAGGGGAAGAGCTGGAATATTCATGGAACCGTTTCATGGGATTCATGAAATGACCTTTCCATTACCCTCTGGTAAACAACATAGCTATGGAAAATCACCATTTGGCATAGGTAAATCAACTATTTCTATGAAGCATTTTCAATAGCTATTTTGACATTACCAGAGGGTAATATTCCATTAATATCCCATTAAATCACTATACATCCCATTAATATCCCATTAAATCCCATGAATATCCTATCAATATTCCATTACCATTCCATTCCATTAATGGCAATGGTACTGGAATGGTAGTTTCCAAGGAATATTAGGGGGAAGGAGGCCAAGTTTCCAAGTCTGAACTCCAGCCTCGAGCTGCAGTCACAGAGCACCCGAACATCAGCACGTTGCTATCAGCTCCTGGATTTCTTGGGGATGATTGCAAGCTTTTAAGCGCAGTTTCACCAGCAAAAATGGATGAACATAGCAGAACAAAGAGTGGTCTATATAACCAGAATTCTTCTTGAACTAAGAAACCTAGTGGTTTTACATGGCCAAGAGTGGTCACAAAAGAGTTTCCTGAAGCCTCATGTATAACCACCAACGAATCGCACCATCTATGACGGTCACCTGGGTTGCCTTCCCAGCTGCACAAGACAGGTCAAACAGGCCAAAATGCGTGTGATTTCTGTGCTGTTTCATGCTGAAAGGGATACAGCACCTGGCAAGTGCCAAGTGCCAGATTTGCGGCCCCTGAAACTCTACACTGGTTGGTGGTTTCAACCTCTCTGAAAAATATGAAAGTCAGTTGGAATGATTCTTCCCAATATATGGAAAAATATAAAATGTTCCAAACCACCAACCAGATGCAGCTATTGTAAGTGCTCTCAAACGGTTTTCTCCCTCTTAATTTGATAGAATTAGCTATGGAAAAGATAGGAAAACCACGATTTTGACAACGATGATTTTCATCGAACTAAACGGGCCATCTATTGCATAGCAAATGTCACTTTAAATCCCACTCCAATTAGGGTTGATTATATAAACTTTCTGAGTAAATCCCACTCAACCATATTAAATTCAATGTTCGTTATTACTATTTTAAAAGCTGTTGTATCTTATTATCATACCGTGGATGGAAGAAATCCTGCACCACCTTGGATGCTTGAAACCCAATAATGGGAGAAACCACCTATCAACTGGTGCAGGATTTCGCAACCATCCACCGCATTAAATCCTGCAATGTTAGGCCCCCCAGTGATGTTTGTTGGTTTATAAGCCCCAGTAACTATAGTTATAAGTACCATAAACCATAGTTATTGGAGTTATAAACCAAGTTAGCTATCTTGGGGGCCTCACATTGTGTGATATCTCCTATAAACCTAAATGGCTCATCCGAAACGGCCACCCGCCTGCCCACAGGCCGGCCGTGGATGCCGATTCCGATGCCTCCTAGGTGGGGAGAGTGTGGAGTTGACCATGGCACGGGCATGACTGATTTTGAAAGGATTTTCAAGGGATTTTAGTGGTTTCCCATTTATAGTGATTTAATGGGATTTAAATGGATTTAATAGGAGGTCATAGAGTCATAGCGGTCAATGGAGATTGTAGAGGCTTGGTAATAATTTAACTTTATGCCTAACGGGCTTAAAGATTAATGGAGCTTATGTAAAGACTTATATGTTCGAAATAAGGATATCTAAATAAATGGTATATATATATTGTTTTGAAGACTTTACTTATAAAGAATCATAATGAACATCCTTCAAAAAGACTTACAACAGACTACTGATATCAGTTGTAGCTTTAAAGAAGGGGTTGAGATAAAGATTGAGGATTGTAGAACCCTGTAAAAATAGAAACTAAATTCATCCTGCTGGAATATAGTGATAAATTGTTCCTTTTATATATCTTTATGGGGGTTCCTATAAAGCAACATAGATATTGATTATATAAGATTGCTTGACTGATTTAGATGAAATATAGGGATGAAGTTGACCTTCAATAGTGGGGATTAAGGGAGGGATTTTGTTTCTTGACTGATATGATCAACATGCTTCAACGGGAAGAAATGGTGAGGCCCCAAAGAAACACGCTTGGAAAATGAACTTATATATCATATTATAATCATCGAATTGGCAAGGTTTTGGGGTTCCTGACTGCCCTGTCTGGGACGCGAAGCCATCACCAAGAAATACATGTGGAAGTGGCAAAGTCTTACGGTGAAACCTTAAACAAAAACACATCAACAAAACATGGAAGTTTTGCCCAGTGCTCATTCATATTCAGCCGAGTAAGACCACCATCACACACTGAGTCCCCCAGCGTTGGCATCGGTACCATCGTCGGCTTTCAAGTCGCAATCCACCAGAACCGGGCGACCAGAAACAACCTGGTTGGAACACCAACTTCGAGTCTTAAAGTATAGGGGTTGCGAAAAAGATAGAACAGTGTATCCAGCATGTTATCGATGATGTTTTCCACAAAAAAAACAGGTGTCCATTGTGTTTTTGTCACGCTTGCCACCGAGATAGTCTGGGGATTCCTGAGGCATGCCTTGGGTCATGATGCCAGCGCCAGCTGACTGCAGGTGATCTAAAAGAGGTATCATGCCTAGTGGGCCATGACAGGTAGCATCTTGTAGTCCAACTTGGTACAGCAACTGAAAATCCTAAGTCAATATAGGATTAAAACATGTTTTGAGGATTCGACCAAACGAGTTTTAGGTGCTAGTTCCAAATTGTTGATCCTTAAAACTATATATTTCTATATGTATATACTAGTTATATATATATATAATTATATATATATTATGTTAGAAACATATATAGGCTAGCAACCCGCAAATAGATAGAACAAATATGAAAAACTGGATATCTGGAAGAAAAAAAAGGCAACAAAACATCATCTACATCATCTATACCCTAGTGGAAATACTGTAAGTCACGATCCTTTGGGGGACTTCTATGACAGCATCCACTCCGAGCCTCCAAGCAGCTGGCAGTTTTCGCAAGCGCACTGCCCCTAGCACCGGCTGAAATGGTTGCAGAGGTTTTTGGAGTGGTAATTGGCAACATCCATCAATATCCACCAATATCATATCAATATCCATAAATACCCATCAATATCCATCAATGTCGATATCCAGCAATATCCTAATCCCAATCATCATTTACTGAACACCTCGCGATGTGAGGTCCCAAAACAAATATCCAGACTATGGCTACTGGTGACTGGTGGCCCAAAAAAACTGGGAAGCAGCCCCAATCCATCACCATCCCACAGCTCCCCAGTGGGGTCAGCTGGGTCTCGAGTCACCAAGGTCCCAATCCTTGAAGACAGGGTCAAGTTGAGCCGCCAAAACCTGAGACGTGCGTGGCACACGTGTGACTGTCATGTTTCACTGGGGCATGCAACAACCAATGCCGCAAACACCAAGGTCACCAAGACAGTCAAAATTTAAAAAACTAAACTTGGCAAAAAGGTACTAAACATGTGGGGTCAAATACCTTTTTTTGGAAAAAAAGGGGCCGGTGTATGCCGGCATATTGATATTTGATGATCTGGCAAGGAGGATCACACTGAGACATAGCAAAGGTGTTTCTTCAGCCCCTTCCCCCGTACAAAAAATGTAACTTGGAGATATTGGACATATGTAAAGAAACATGCCCTCCCGGTAGAAATTGGATTTTCCCTGGTTTGAACATGTTTGAACATCTTTGAACATCCTACTTTGAAGATTCTGAATATGTAGTGAATCTGGGTAAATTATAATTTTTCACTAACCTGAATTAAGGCCATTTGGGGATGATTTCCCTTACTAACCATGATTTCCAGTGAGGTCGCAGTGAGGTCGTTATAATTTACCCGTTTTCCTCCCGTCAAAGGTCCGCGGCCTGATCAAGTGAAACCGCAGCCTGCCAACAATTGGACAAGTTGGCAAAATAAAAAAGGTTGGCTAAAAAGAAAGTCCACGTTGTGGTTGTCTTCTCCATGTCTTTACCATTGCGTAGCCCTTGGCCACTTGCTTCAACGCCTGCGTCCAGCTCCCACCCAGATGTGCACGATCCAGCGTGATGAGCTGGCAGTCCTCCATTTCAGGAAATGTGTCATATTTTTCAAAGCGCCGCAAATATTTGTACAAGTAATTCACAACCCCCTGCTGGCAAGGTATCACTGGTCTCTGTCTGAATCCATAGGGGTGGTTGCGGGCCCCCAACAGAAAAAGACAACGGCAAAAACCCCGTGGCCGTGCAGGCCAGGGATCTCTTGTGACAAGCCCCCTGATCTGGTTAACAATTATAGCAAAATTGTTCGCTTGTTCGCCTAGGCCTATGTTGTGAACAGTGACTTGCTCCCAGCTGTCTAGGCACTGGAGAAAATCCGTGCCTGCCAGGTCTTTCCTCTTCAAGGGTGGCATGATTTTTGACCACAAAACAAAAGAAGTAACCAGTTCAATCCAGCTAATCCCTGGGTCTTTTTCCTCAACTTCTTCTGCGTCAGGCCATTCCACTTGTCTCATCCATTGCAACACCATATCTGCGAAGGGGCGTCCCCAAGCGGAATACTGTAGGAATGTTACACCAACATCATAAGTAGCCCGTGGGTAGGGCACCTGCCAGTTTGCAAGAATGTCTCTCGGTTCAGGCGCGGTGTTTGCGCGAAGATCCGCATGAACTGTGAGTTCTGTTTTATCTGCTTGCAGCAAAGCAAAATGACGACGTAAATCCAAGAGATATGCAAGGAAAGAGCGCAAATACAGTTTATCGCATTGAACATCCATGTACATGTCTTGACATAATTGAGCAACTTCCGGTTAAAAACTTTTGCAGGTGGCCACTGCAATCTCATCTGCTTGTCGGTTACCCAAAATGTCATAAACTTCAAGTGCTGTGTGTGCCAGTGTGGGCTCCTGGTGTGCCTTAACCTTAACAACTGTCTGAGATCCCCTACGGAGTGCCAGCCAGAGACGGTAGACCAGGTCAGGGTCTTCAAGGTGCTGAAGATCAGTGAACTGGTGTGCCATCTGACAAAGCAAAAAGGCATGTGTGACACTGGCTGAGTCTGTCTTTATTATGGCCCTACTGCACCATTCGCAAACAGAAACAACCGCCATGAGCTCAGCCCGGTGTATGGTCTGTGGCCCTTGCAGCCTAGCCATGGCCAGGCTTCCCAATGAGACGGGAAATGTTCCAGTCCGTCTCCAAAGCTCGGCCTGTGCCACCCGCTGGTTATCTGAAACACATGTGTCAATAATGATTGCAAAGGCCCCAAAACGACAGGTGTGTGACTGCGGAAACCTGAGTGAACCATCCGTGTAAAAACATGTTGCAAAGCCTAGGCTATCAAGGTTTTTGAGCTGGTTTTGCATTGCTTCATCAAGCATTGGTGGTGGTTGACAATAGTGCAACTGCTGTACAAGCTCATAACTGGGGTGCTGCAAAAGAAATGGCAAATCATGAAATTCCAAACCCTGGGTCAGGCAGTGATTAAGGGTGGTATCATATGGTTGCCGAACTTCCTGGGCTGCTGCACATTCAAAAAGCCTGTGAAATCTACTGTCAAGTTGGTCGCAGTGTTGGCAGCGTCCGTCCGCATCATCTGCCCACTTCTGTTTTTGTGATTCTGTCTGGAAGCCCAGGGATAGCTCCTGGGCCAGCTGGAGTTGTTCCCCCTCAGTGAAAGTGGCTAAAACTTGTCTCGTGTCTGGCGTGTTGAGCCGGAGCATTCGGAGTTTTTTCCTGTCGCTGTGGTGTAGCATGACATCTTGGTCCCATGCTTGCATTGCAAACCTCTGAAAGACTTTGGCACTGGTAGTGATCAGAGGCAGTGCCAGTCCAGGTCCTACTTGGACACATCCCTGCGATGTGAAGGACCAGCCAATCTTGCTGAGTGTGTACGCTAAAACCCCTGCAGGTCCTCGGCATCTATAGGACAAACCTGAGTGCTGTGCCGCCATCTTGAAAACAAGGTTCCTAGTTTCTTCATCCAGGGAACAGGCTAGCCTTTTCATGGATCGGAGCATGCGTAGCAACAGTTCCAGCTGGGGGTCTACTAGGTGGTTAACCGCCATTATAGCTAAGGCTGGATTTCTAGTTTGGGAGGGGCCTAGCAAAGCATTACTTATGGCAGTACGCAACTTCTTGATATGGGTTTCACCAAGTGGGATAACTTCAGTACCATACAGCGCAACTGGGTAGATTGATCCTTTCACAAGCTGTGTTTTAACTGGCAATGGCAACTTGATCTGCTGCAGTCTGAGCAGTCTCATGTGTGCCTTTTCCAATCGTTTTTTATATTTACCAAGCTGTGGGGAACCTTGGTAAGTGAGTTGGGCCCCAAGATCCATAGCATTCAGCCTCCGTTGCAAACATCGTGTAGGCTCATGGCTATTTAGAACTGTTTTCAAAGCGGCAAACTGGTCAGGTCCTGTGGCCCAGGCCCAGCATTTTGGCCAGTCCACTACCATGTCTACCAGGCGTACAAAGGCAGCAGTATGGCGCAGAATGGCAGTATGGTCTTCCGCGTTGGTGGCAGCCCACGACCAATTATCAGCATATGCAGACAAGAAAGCGCGTGGTGCATGTCTCCGGATATCAAGGGACCAAACATAGGCCAAACTCAAGATGGCTACTACACTCCATGCGTCACCTTCTGGGACACCATGATTGGTTGGCAACACACCTGTGCATTCCTGGCCAAGGCGCCAGACACGGCATACATTTTTTAGGGATAAATACCACTGATGTACTAGCGCCGGAGGTACCCCCATCCATAGCAGTGCTTGTTGTACCGCCCGCTGGGAAATGGTATTAAAACACTTTAGCAAATCAATGGAGAGCCCTGAAAGCTGTCGGTTAAGCCAATGGTGAATTTCGATATGCAACTGCTGTCGCAAAAATGCCTCTGCTGGGCCACGACCCCTGAGGAATCCGCTTATGTCAGCAGGCAAGTGTTGTGCAAAATGTCCTAGCAGTTGTCTGGTACAGACTCGGCCCCAGAGCCGGTAGAGTTGAGGCAGTATGGTGATGGGTCTCACCTGGCCAGGTTCAGGAACCTCAAAAACTTTAGGTACTGGGACAGTGATAGCAAGCATGTACCATTGAGGAAAACCATCGGTCTGCGCCAACAATATGTCTTTCAAGTGCATTATGGCCATGTCCGGCAATTGCTGCAGTTCTGCGGCTGAAATGGCATCTGACCCCCTGGCTGATGTAGGCTTGAGGGAACGCACTGCTGAAAACCAAACTGCCGCATCGGTTAGGTCCAAAGCAGGCCCAGGTATGGTCTGCGGCAGCTCCTGCAACAGCTGTTCAAAGGCACCAGGATCAGCCGCATGGGCCCTGTCATCATTCCAGAAAGGTAACCAGTAGTCTGTCAGCAGCCGCAAGATATCCTGGGGATCGGAGTGTGTTCTATGTTGGGTCAGTTGAAGTTCCTCTTCATGGGGTGGCAATGGTTGATGTGTCCGAAGGCTTACTGAGTAATCATCTATTGCAACAATACTACTGTGGCAATCTTGAACAAGAACCGTGGCTGCCATGTCAAATTGCTTGGGATTATGGCAGAAGGCAAGCAGTTGACCGTCAGGCTGCGGGACAACCACAGCCTCTTCTGTGATTTGGCTTTTCATCTGTGACACCGGTGGCATGGCCTGTTCTTTGATCCTGGCATAAGCCATGGCATGTCCCCGGTATGTCCGGTCGAGATGTCTTGCGTGGGCCTGTCGGTCTTTCTGCAACTTGGCATCAAAGGCAATCTCGATGTCTGTCAAGTGTTGGAGCAGTTGCAACATGACATGTAAATACTCAGTGGAGGGAACTGCCAAAGGGGCTGGTCCCAATTCAGGCATGTTCTGGCACCATTGCACAAAGGATTTCCCAAAAGCTTTGGATCGAAGGATAGCTTGCCATTCCTGGTGTAGTTCATTCCATTTACTGTAGTGGTTGGTATTCTGGGCAACACAGAGGCGATGATACAGTGCTTTCACTCTACGAACCTGTTTGATCTTTGCCTGAGTGGCGTGCCGGATGATTTCAGATGTCGAGGCATAGTCACTGGGTCGGCCCGGCTTACTAAGGATTACTTTAGGGACCTTTTGTGGCTTTCTTGGTTTACATCTTCCCCTAAAGGCTTTGGGCAGTGCCTGGGTGGCGGTCCATGGTGTGCCATTTTGAACCTGAGTCCTACGGTACGCAATGTCCACTGCACATTCCACTACCTCACCCCATTGAGTCAGACAATCTGGAACACCCAAGGTTTGGGTTGCTTGGGTATATGCTTCAGGTAGTAAGTGTGTATCAATGGTGAGTCCAGTCCATGTGCGTGGCAATGGCAAGTGTAGTGTTTGCAACGATGTTTGAGGGATACTCATTTTGAAAATAACAACCTGGTGTGTGTCAAAATCCCCTGGTGGACAGACTTTGATATCATGTATCCATCGCGCTGTCCGTGGGCAGGCAACTGCATTGTCCGGCCAGGTGACTCCTTTACAGGTGCATGGCATGATTCTACCCGTATGGGAGGCAAATAGTGCTTTGAGATCGGTGAGTTGTCTGGCATGGGCTTCATCCCCGAGGATTTCTAATGGGTTACAATTAAAATCCCCCATGATAAGGAACGGCAAGTTGAAAGTGTCAGCTGCCTGCAATGCAGCTTGCAGGAGTTGGTGATTGGCCCTATCCGCACCTGAGTGGGGTAAACCATAAATTACTAACACTTGCAACTGCCATGATCCAAATTCTAGCAGGAAATGTCCCAGGCGGGAAGTGGCTTCCGTTTCCTGTGGCAGGGTGCCATGGATTCTACGCAAAGGCCAACGGCCAAACAGAGCTACACCTGCCGCTTTCCCCCGAAGCGAGGGCTGGCGGTCCAATCTTTCCACTCGGTCCGGCAGAGGTGCAGACCAAACCGATCGAAATGCACATGCACGCATTTTTTGGGAAAAGATTTTTTGTACCAGTTCTGTAGCAGCAGTTTCACTAGCACTGAAAAGATCCAGGTTATGTTCTTGGATTAAGGCTTCATAGCGCTGAGACTTGGACACAATGGTGGTGGGGTTGGTGATACCCCATGTCAATATCATGTCCTCAGGGCCTGGGTTATTCGCTTCGCCAACCCGCTGGGCTGTGTATGGGCAATGGTCTTCATGGTGTTGTGGCAAAATGCCATGATGATCTGTACATCGAAAAAATAAAGGATCAACGGGTCTATGCGGCTGCAAAAGGACTGAACAGTTAAGGCAGCATCGGAAGACCTCAGGATAGTTATATTGCTCAAGAAGTGTAGTCAGGCATGAACCTAGTGTACCTAGAAGTGCAAAATTGCCAAGGGTCTGTCTACTGCTGCAGCTGGGCATATACATGTAAACATTAAAACTTGGCATGTTCAAGGTCACATGGCATTGAGACTCAAATGCAGTGATCGAAGTGATCAAGTGGTCACCAGTCAATGTCCCGACATCCGGCCATGGATGATCTGATTTTCCATCCCGTTGGACAGTGCTTGGGCAGTGGTCTACATGATGTTGTGACGAAATTCCATGATGATCAGAACACAGAAGTAGCACCCCTTCACACGGTCGATACGGCTGCCAAACTACGGAATGGGTAAAGCCACAGTGTGAGACTTGGAAACGCACACAATTCAGCCCATGCATGTGGGGGCATGAAATGGTTATCCAAAAATTGTCAAAATCGCCAAGAGTTTGTCCACCGTTGCAGCTAGGCATATACAAGTAAACATTAAGTCTTAGCATTTGCAAGAGTTCACTGCAGTGGGACTTGGACACATTTGTGGGGGGATGAGGGACATCCCCTGTCAGCGTCATAGCATTCAAGTCCGTGATATCTGCTTGACCAAGCCTCTGTGTTGTGAAAAAGCAATGGTCCTCATGTAGCTGTGGCAAAATGCCATACTTAAGAAAACGAATGGACAAAATGTCAGGTGGCCAATGCCTCTGCAAAAGAGCTTGGCAGTTAAGGCAGTGACGTGATACCTCATCACACCAACAGTGCCAGCAATGCTCGTAAAAGCACAGCCTAGGTTTCCAAAGCTTGTCAAAATCGCCAAGAGCTTGTCCACTGCTGCACCTGGGCATATGCATGTAAACTTTAAGTCGTAGCGTTGGCAAGGCTTTATAGCTTCGGTACTTGAACACGGTTGATGTGGAGATGGTGCTGCTACCTGGCAATGGCATGTCATCTGTGCCCAGGTTGTGTGCTTTCCCAACACGCCTGGCTACGCATGTGCAATGGTCCTCATGACAGTGTGGCAAAATGCCCTGATTGTCTGTACACGGTAAAGGCAAAATTTCATGTGGTCGATGCGGCTGCAATGGGATTGAACAGTTAAGGTGTCGGCAAAAGACCTCAGAACACAAACCTTGTAGCCAAACCACATCTAGGCATGATAGGAATGAACAAAAAATTACAAAATCGCCAAGAGTCTGTTCACTGCTGCATCTGGGTAGGTACATGTAAACATTAAATCTTAGCATTGGAGGCTTGGCAGGGGCAATGCAGGGGCAAATGGCAAAAAATTGGACACCTGCATGTCCCTGTGTGTCATACTGTCAAGGCTCCATATTGTCCGGAGGTGGACGTTTGGTGGAAATCAACAAATGCTTCAATTCCGACATGCGTTCGTCCATGGCCTGTGTGCTCTTATGGAATGCCGCGTGCAACGATCTATCCAGATCTTGTCGAATGGCCTCCATGGACTCGGCAACTTGTTTGGATTGTCTCTGTTCTCTCTCTTCTGCGGCCGCAAAACGTTCCTCCGTCTGCCTTGCAAATTGCTCACTGCTGGCTGCAAGTGTCTGGAGTTGCTTTTCAATGTGCTGGAGTTTCTGATCTTGGGCTGCAAGGCGTGTTTCTGTTGGGCCATCAATCGATCGGTTTCCTGCAGCAGGTCCGGGTGGTGCCTGGAGACGTGGACCCTGCCATGCTGCCCATGGATCTGGATTGTGGTCCTTGGTGGCATCTTTTGGCTTTGCAGATCTTGGTCCTACCATGAGCGGTGCACTTTGGCGTGTTCGTGGAGGCAAATGTCGTATCAGGACAGCCTGGGTGTTGAACATGGCCACCCCTGGCGGAGGCTGCTCATCAGAGCGTACCAGCATAGCTTGCGGCCCTAAGGCTCGTACAGCCTGGCAATTCCACTTGATCTTCTGGGCCCAGGTATCAATCATTGTTGTGGTGACCCCAAAGGGTAATCCATCAACCCTGAACACCAACTCACCTGCTTTCTGGCCAGGCATTGGTTGCCCCGGACAAAGAATGGCCCATGCAGAATCAAAATCACTTGCTCGGAAGCGCAGACCCAAGGTCTTCTTCCCTTTGACCAATCCCAGTGAGTTCGCAACTTTGGCACTGTATACAGCAGCTTGACCAGAGTCAGCAAGCCAGAGCACCCGATAGGTGGTGTCCAAGCGACCATCGGCAGTTTTGGGTGTGCAGTAGAGCTTGTTGAAACCTGATTTGGCCAGAAGTTTCGGAAGCTTGTCCTCCAACACCGAACAGTGAACCTGAAGGGTCAGTGCTTGTAAGGGGGAGCAGGCTGCTCGTTCATTTCGAAAGGATCTTCCCCAGATACTGAGGACATGTTCACCCAGACCTTCTTTGTCCAGAATCTGACGGATGAAAGGGACTGTTCGCTGCAAGGCATCTGTCCAATGTTCTCCAGTGAAGTCCGTTTTATACAAGGTCAACGCGACCAGGGCACACTTATCTGCCATCACCATGTGAGGGTCACCTTGCTGGAAGGTAACATCTTTGGTACCCAATTGGAACAAGTGGCAATGTAGTAAAACCATCTGTCCATCTCGGTTGTGGCACGGCACTGTGATTTCAACGCCCTGCATGGTGGTTGCAGGAGGCTTTCCTACGATGAGCAGGGCCAATTCATCACTGGAGATTTTTTCTTGGGCTGTGAGCCAAGTTGCTGATTGAGCTGGGCTGGCAATGGCGACTCCTGTTGCTTGTGGTCGGATGGTGTCCAACTGTGCGCAGGGTGATGTGTCTTGATTCTGGAAAAAACCTGGGATAAACGAATACTCAGAGGGATCAATCATGGAATCCCCTTTATGCTTTTTGGGCTTCTGCCAGGGCATCCCTTGGGCTTGCTTCCTAGTCTGCGGTGTTGGCAGGGCTGGAACAGCAATGGACGCTTCTTTGAGCAACGCAAGGAGCGCCGTCAACTTTTGGGATCCTACTGGCATGGCAGTGACATGTTGGAGTTTGGCCAACCCAAAACGGTTGCATAGCGTGTCAACTGTGCTGGTGACCCATGACAATTCATAGCCTTGTTCAAGGAGATAGCTGGCAAGTGCTGATTGTTGCATCATGCGACTCTGATGTTTGGCACCTGTGTTACCACCTCCACCTTGGAGTCTCATGACGACATGAATGACAATCGCATCACGGGAGGCTTGCTTGTCCAAGGTTCCAATTTCAACTGCCGGCATGACTTGTTTGGAAAGGTGCACCAATCTATGTTCCGTTACCCCATTGGTGGGCTGGAGAGCAAAATGCAAAAGCTTGATGATGATTCCCGCAGTAATTTCTTTTGGCAATTCTTCCGTCCAAAGTGGACGGCAAAGCCACTTGATCAGGACTTTGTGGGTGAAAGGTCCCTCGTATGCTTTCAATACAGCAGACAGCAGACTACGGAAGGCCAGCACTGACATCGCAATGTCAAAAGCTTTCGGTGGAATCACTCCATGAGTTCTCTGTGGCAGGAACTGCAGCATGATACCTGAGGCATAGACGGTTTTCTCACAGCTACGACCAAAAAGTTGTTCTGTTTCATGAGTCATGACTTGCATCCAAAAATTGGCAACGACCTCTGTACATTGGCTTTCTCCATGCAGGTGTAAAACCATGGCATCCAAGTTGTAATCCCATGAGATTTGCGTGGTAATCAAATCAAGCGCAGCCAAAAGCCTAAGGATATCCCCTTGATACACTTGGTGGGTGATGGCCTGTGTTGTGACCAAGACAGAGTCCTCTGGCATTTGCGCATTTGTGAGCAATCCAAATTGATCATATAGGTCCTTACCCATGTCAGCTACATCATCATGCGACAAGAGAGGAATTTTCGGATCACACTTATACAATGTGAGCTGCTGATCGACCAAAATCTGTGCTAGGTCCCTGGAATTGTTTTCATGAGCATGTGTGGTGTTATCCTCCGGCAAATGCAAAATGGTGGTGGTTTCCATGTCCTTCGGGAAAACACACTCAAAAACATGGTTCCATGGTGCCCTAATGGACTGCGCAGGCAAATCGGATGAGTACCAGAATCTCTGCTCGAATGCATCTGCTGTGATGACTGCTTGCAAGACCACTGCAAAAGGTACTGTGGGTTCAATGGATGACGGAACTGAGATGACACTGGCCGGCTGTGAGACTTCTGGTTGCGGCTGCTTGGACATGCTTGTGCATTGCTTCAGGCTGGACACACCAACCCGCGGTAACCACACTGCAAGTGGGTCCATTGCATGGACAAATCCAGCTAGTGACTGGGCACTCTCAAGGAATGGTCCATCAGGCATGTGGTCTTCATTTGTGTACAATGCACCTCCATTCATCAAAGTGACCTGAACCGTTGATGTGCTCAATCTGTACTTGATGAATCGGTCAAGCACTTGGTTTGGCAGAATCTTCGTGGGTAGGAAAGCATTGATTACATGCGTCAATGGAATGAGGGCATGAAATGGCAGGATGCTGTTACCTATAACCAACCACGAGTGGTGCAAGTCATCATCCACAAACATCCAATCAAATGCTCCATGCAACAAACCAATTTCCGCAGGGTGAAAAAGCCGTCCTCCGTGCTTGAGCTGTGGTTGCGCAAGGAAAAAACCATAGTATGAATGATCATTCAAATGAGTGTCTGAGAGCTCATGTTGGCTGCCATACCTTGCCATGAAAGGTGGCAAAATCATGTTGGTGTCATACAGTCGTTGTTGCATAACCTGTGCTGGGCTTTTGGCCAAGATGGTTCTACCTGCCTTTCTGGGATCGGATGCAACTCGGCAAATCTCATCTGTGATGGCCAATGCATCGAGGTTCTTCTGGTTCCACGGCAGCAAAAACTGGGCATGATCAATCTTGTGGTCTTGTGGAAAAACCCATGGTGGAAACGGTGCTGTATTGACATGTGAGTGGACACGAACTGCCACTGCTAACCAACGTGATCTGGTGATGCCCATCACTGCTTTGGCATCGATGATTCTTTGCCACTGCATGCGGTATCCTATCCAGCGAATTGCTCTTTCAACATGGACCTTGTGAGCATGTGACGCAAAACCTGGAACATTTTCAATGGCAATATAGGTTGGTCTGAGAAAACGGCATTTCAAGATTCCATGCAAGATCAAAGCTCCATCTTCTCTTTCCAGGCCTAGTCCTGTTGAGGCTGTGGACCATGGGCCACATGGTGAACTGATCGTAACTACATCTACCCCCCATTTAGTTACCAAACGCATCCAGTGGTTCGATCTGACATCATCGCAAATTACCCAGTTCCCATCATGTAAGGCAAATGCATCTTCAGGTAATTCAACCCTAGGAATGACAAATGCCGCTTGTTGGTTCAAGGCAAAGGTCTTTGCAATGTCCGCATGATAATCAATTCCAACTGAAACAACCGGATGATGGGTGAAATCAGACAGGAAGCGAAATGCTGTGGTCCATCCGTCTACTCCACCACTGAAAAGTTCCAAGTGATGAGTGGTGGAAAAATCTCGGTCAGGAGAGTCAGCGAAACACCATGTGGAGTCCATGTCAAAATGAAATTTGGTGACATCACAGTCATCTTGCCAGACCTGCAAAAGCCAGATTTTACATCCCTTTGGGGGCGTGCAACTAGCTACATCCCAGATCATGCATAGATCTGTGGAGCAAAGTTCATCTCCAGGTACTGTCAAAAAATCATGTGCAAACGCATGCAGTCCAAAACCTTCAGGGATATGTTGAATTTACCCAGGTGAATGTAGTGCGATATGACATGTCCCTCCATCAAAAGATGCCAAAATGCTGAACAAATTGCACGGTGCTGTCTGGGTCACCATGTCCCACTAGGTGAGGGCCCCAGTATTTATAGGTGGGGACAAAACAATACTAAACCAACCATTGAAGGAATGGTTTATACAATCTATGGTGAAATTGGAGGATGGTTTATGGCATTGTTTTACCCACATGAGCTGGTGATATCCCCCTGGTCAACCCTATATTATATAGTTCTATAATTCAGATTGATTCAGCATGTGATGTCCAGCAGAGTCCGGCACCTGCAACATCTCACCAGTTTCAGTAACGAAAATTTTGAGATATTTTGAGGTCCCGACACCACCGTGGCGTCGCCCGACTCAACCGACACCTGGAGTGTGTTTTTTTCGCCCAAACGTGTGGAACAAAAATCTGGGTGTGTCTGAAAATGAGATGTAACCATATGTAACCCCCCAAAAAGCAATTTAAAGAGGGATCATGATAACATCTGTATGATGCTTAACTCATGGATTCCGGGAGGACTCACTTTCAGCACGAACCCATATCAGGAACCAGTCCAAACAATCCAAAAACCAACAATCACATCGTTGCCAAATGCCCTTCCGGCAAACAGCCAAGATCACTGCAGAGCAAGGACTGATTTTCACGCAGGCTCAGTAACCATGTAAATGCCTATGCCGCGGGCCCGACTCACATCATCTTGAAGCCAAGCCACGGTGCCCGTGACCTTCTGAGTCTCGACTCATCTCATCTCAACTCATCGACTCAAGTCATCTTGCCACCCTGACTGATGTAGAGAAGGATGGAGTCACCCTGACGCAACTGGATCTTCGTGAAACGGTCATGCTGCAAACCAACCCGCTTCAATGGGAGGATGATGGGGCTGCTCCTTGGCAGCACCTCAAAGCGGGAACCTAAGATCCGGTCTGCCTGGGGCACCACTCCTTGCGCATCTGCTCGCAGTTGGGTCCTGCTCACTGCCACATCGATGCCGGCATACTCCGTGGAAATGTGCCTCAACTGGACGCTGAAGAAGTCTGGAATCTGCAATCTTTCCACGCTCTGTGACTGGAAGGAGTCAAGGTCATACCAATCGAAGAGTTCTTGCTCAATTGGGCATTGCCGCTCCTGAACTGGAAAGATCTCCAGAGGTCGCCAACGGACACGGTCCACATCCACCAAGCCCATGGCATTGAAAAGGTTCACTGCAATCTCGATGCGGTCATTCACACAGACTGGTGTGATGTTCGGGGTTGCTGCTACACGAGTTTCATCACCATGGAAACGGCAAATGTCCTTGTGGATCCAAAAGGATCGGGATGTGCCTCTGCTAAAGGTGTCAAACTTGAAGGAGCACTCAAAAGGATCCGTCTTGTCCTCATAGCCTTTGTTGTTGTTATTTTCTTCCTCCTCCGCAAGCTGGCCACTCTTGTAGGCATATCCATAGGACACTTTTGTGCAGTGGTTCACGTGGTTACTGGTCACCCTGGCAATCAAGATCCTGTCAATCCTGATGCCAGCTTCTGCCACGTGCACTGGAGACCAATCGGTCCGGGCATACTCCAAGTGGAGTGACTGACCGTAGTACTGCTTGAAGCCCTTGTCAATCTTGGAGAACACCTGATCTAACGTCTTGTAGTAGACCACGAACCAAAGAGGGCAAACTTCAAAGCAGCGGATCAATGCACCACCGAAGAGGAAGGAAATCACCAATGGCAGCATGCTAGCTTCCATGAAGACCTGCGAATTCTCACCACCCTGGCATATTTCGGGATCTCGGATTGCAGCTCGATGAAGCAACTCTGCAACCCTGTTCCTACTGTTCTCCGGCTGGTTGGTCAGGCCCTCAACCACATACCTGTGCTGCATGGATTCATAGTCTTTCCTCCTCAGGCACAGCTCCTTGGTCAGACTCTTCCGGTCCGTGACGCGTACGTCGATGGCGTGCGACGATGTCCCACCCATGGCGCTACCGAGGAGGCTGTGCGGCAATTCAAAAAATTGCTTGTGCAGTGGCCAAAAAAAATTTCTGGAAAGATTCAATAGACTGGTTGATATATGTTGATCTTAATCTTCTGGTAATTACTGTTTTCAATTATGCATTACTACAGTACATACTGTGTCTTTTGTGTGGCATGGGCACTATGTTAGATAAACATGTTTTGTCTGGATATCCAGCTGGTCATGATGAGCTATATCTGTATGTAATGATGGAGCCGTCCAACGCTGGGTTTCTGGCCACTGCGCAATGTGGGTGCTTTTGTGTGAAACGCCAAGACGTGGAGCTTGTCAGTGTAGTGAAATCAAACAACTTGACTTCAACATCACGTGTATCACATCTACATCTCACATTTTGATATATGTCCGCTATCAAACCGATTATATAAATATAAACAGTACATCAGCTATTGTTAGTGTTTTCTGTTTGGCGACTGTTTGGCTTAAAAAAAGGCCTAAATCTCTGTCAGAAATGCTGCAGCTGTCCGACTTGTCCGGAGCTGGAGGCCAAATGGACGCGCGTGAGCTGTCCAAAATGTTTGATATAATGTGGTAAACCCAATGATAAACCTATCATTGGAGATGATGGTTACCACCATTCATGGTGATATCAGGGATGGTTTATTGTTGGGTTTGCCACATTAATTCGGACGATCTTGTTGTTTCTTCGATTTTCTGATCAGTATGAAATATATGCAATGTCAAGCGTTGACAATGACACCTGGGAAAGAAAGTGACGAAAGCTACAAGACATGCCTGGTTACCCTCCAGAAATAGAAACAAAAACAATGAGAAATCCGCAGTCTAGAGAGGACAACCATTTAAAAATAGAACGACAGAAATGCGATGTTTGCCAGGTTGGAGTTCAAGGGTTCGATCAAAAACGCAGCCGCCCAGTGCAATACCTCACCCCTGCAATTTAAGCTGCAACCCCAAGCACTCATAATATAATAATTATAATGCATATAATATACCCTCTGGTCATCAAACACGGAAGATGGGCTAGTCAATGGGAAATTGAGAATAAACGGAGGATATTCATGGATATTCTGGGATTGTCCACTGTCATGTTTGATTACGAGAGGGTAAACGAAACGATTGTGAAAACTCAACCTGCTGGCATCAACAATAAATCAGGCAAGGGCACAACTCGGTGTGCGATTCCCAACTTCAATCATCAAGGAAGGATGAAATGTAGATGATCAAAATAATTAAAGCATATTAAAGCATATTATTCAAAAACCACCAGCCAGCCAAAGTATCCAAAGATATCCAAAGACTTGGAGAGTCCAGCTTTCATCGGGTTCTGCGTATTGCTCAGCGCACATCTTTTTCTTCCTTAATTTGATCAGTCCAATTATGCTGACACCTTCGGCCTTCGCCAAGGTTTTCCCATGCCATGCCTATGCCCCGGGCCCGACTCACATCATCTTGAAGCCAAGCCACGTTGCCCGTGACCTTCTGAGTCTCGACTCATCTCATCTCAACTCATCGACTCAAGTCATCTTGCCACCCTGACTGATGTAGAGAAGGATGGAGTCACCCTGACGCAACTGGATCTTCGTGAAACGGTCATGCTGCAAACCAACCCGCTTCAATGGGAGGATGATGGGGCTGCTCCTTGGCAGCACCTCAAAGCGGGAACCTAAGATCCGGTCTGCCTGGGGCACCACTCCTTGCGCATCTGCTCGCAGTTGGGTCCTGCTCACTGCCACATCGATGCCGGCATACTCCGTGGAAATGTGCCTCAACTGGACGCTGAAGAAGTCTGGAATCTGCAATCTTTCCACGCTCTGTGACTGGAAGGAGTCAAGGTCATACCAATCGAAGAGTTCTTGCTCAATTGGGCATTGCCGCTCCTGAACTGGAAAGATCTCTAGAGGTCGCCAACGGACACGGTCCACATCCACCAAGCCCATGGCATTGAAAAGGTTCACTGCAATCTCGATGCGGTCATTCACACAGACTGGTGTGATGTTCTGGGTTGCTGCTACACGAGTTTCATCACCATGGAAACGGCAAATGTCCTTGTGGATCCAAAAGGATCGGGATGTGCCTCTGCTAAAGGTGTCAAACTTGAAGGAGCACTCAAAAGGATCCGTCTTGTCCTCATAGCCTTTGTTGTTGTTATTTTCTTCCTCCTCCGCAAGCTGGCCACTCTTGTAGGCATATCCATAGGACACTTTTGTGCAGTGGTTCACGTGGTTACTGGTCACCCTGGCAATCAAGATCCTGTCAATCCTGATGCCAGCTTCTGCCACGTGCACTGGAGACCAATCGGTCCGGGCATACTCCAAGTGGAGTGACTGACCGTAGTACTGCTTGAAGCCCTTGTCAATCTTGGAGAACACCTGATCTAACGTCTTGTAGTAGACAACGAACCAAAGAGGGCAAACTTCAAAGCAGCGGATCAATGCACCACCGAAGAGGAAGGAAATCACCAATGGCAGCATGCTAGCTTCCATGAAGACCTGCGAATTCTCACCGCCCTGGCATATTTCGGGATCTCGGATTGCAGCTCGATGAAGCAACTCTGCAACCCTGTTCCTACTGTTCTCCTGCTGGTTGGTCAGGCCCTCAACCACATACCTGTGCTGCATGGATTCATAGTCTTTTCTCCTCAGGCACAGCTCCTTGGTCAGACTCTTCCGGTCCGTGACGCGTACGTCGATGGGTTGCGACGATGTCCCACCCATGGCGCTACCGAGGAGGCTGAGATCTCCGCGACCGTCAAACCTGGCTTGGTGGTTTCTGCCAAGCCAACAACTCCAACCCCCAGCAGTGTGTTTTGAGTTCTGGAATCCTGTCAGGAATCAGTTACACTTGACATGGTTTTACAGTTTTGTGTTTTTATTGGAAAAGAGATGAGAAATGTGAAGGTGAAAAACCGGTTATGATGTTAAACACTGTTAAACTGTTAAACTTACTGAGTTGCCATGGGTGAAATTGATGGTATCAAAACATGTTTCAACAGGTTGTCATGATCTGTCTTTGAGGGGCACCCGCTGGGATCACGAGCGGCGGAGCAGCAAGTTTACCCTCCGTCCAGTCCGACTTCGACACATGCCCATGCTCACGTGTGGGCAGGGGGTGCGTTTTGATGTGTGCAACTCCTTGTCAGAACTCAAGCGGCATAATTCATGATAAGCTGATAAATATATGATTCAATGGCAATAGCTCGGTCAGCTTGACGATGTTCATCCCACATTCAGCAAAATGAAAGGATTATGTGTCCCTTTCAAATATCTTAATGTGGCGACCCCAATGATAAACCATCACCAATGTTGATTTAATCATACCCTCTGGTAATTTAACGTAACTATGGAAAATCACCATGTTTAATCGGTAAATCCACTATAAACGGCCATTTTCAATAGCTATTATATGTTAAATTACCAGAGGGTAATCATCATATTTCATAGGCCTCATGGTTCACGGGATGGTGGCATTGGATTTGCAAAAACTGATCATCCATGCTCCCTGCAAAAAAAGTGGTGCGCTGGGCAAAAACTAAGATAGATGCGGAAAACACATAAAAAAATCATTATATACCCATGGGGAAACCCAGAAATTGAGCTAGAAATGCTGGCTTTTCCACATCTATGTTGATTTTCCCAGGGAAAATCCCAGGTCCAGCAGGGGCCCCGACCAGCGCCCCCAGGGAGGCAGGGCCGCAGAGTTCTCCAGGAGGACAACCTGGTGATTTTACATCGATTTTGCCACGGTTTACTGTGGAGTTTTAGAGGTGATAGTTACATAGTTAAATTATGTTAAGTTGGTTAGGAACTTACGGTGAATTCTATGCTTTATGACGTTATGATAGATCATGATAATTCCATGGAACTAGTTCATGGGGGATAGTTCAACCACCCTTGTAGCGGCATCACCACCTCGCAGAATTCACCCACCATGGTCGTTTCAAAGCTTCGTCGTTTGGGTTTTGCCCAGCGTGGGGTGCACAGCCCATTTCTGGACAAGCTCACATGTCATATCAGTGGTATGTACATCCCATTCTATCGCCGGTTGCTTCTAATCCCTTGCTCCTAATATTTCATTCCATCCCATTGATGTTTAATTAATCATTTTGGGTGCCTATACGGGACTGTCTTTAACATATGAACCCTAGTATGGTCTTGGATTGCTGTTGTTAATTTTTGGGTGTCCATACGGTAATCTGTAACATTACTGTTCCAATCTGTTCCAGTCCCGGGGGTGAACCCCGTGGTTCTCTTGGGACCCTCCGAACTTCGCACCTTCCTTCAGTGTGGAATCCATAGGTTCTCCTGCATTGGAAGGGCGGTGAAACATGGCTAGCTGGGACATACCAGAACTAAAATGGAGGTTTGAGAAAGGCAAATCATCGAACTAAATGAACCGAGATGATTTAATGGATGATTCTCCAGCAAGCCATGTTTGGTTACCAGATGGTAGTAGCGGTCCCCTGAACTAACATAGAAATTTGGGCTTAGACAACTACTTTCCCATTTTCAATAAAACATGTTCATTCTTAGGGTCTATGTCACTTGAGGGGATGGCAAGTGACATAAACAATACCCCACATATAGCTATAGCCATCCTCAACGTTTCGCGTCCTGGAATATGTAGTTACCCCCCAAACAAACGGAACAGTAAAATTCGACTAGTCATAAATTGCGTAAATTGTGCCTTTTCTGCACTGAAGATTTATGAATCATCTTGAATCTGAGGAATTCGATACTTGAGGCATATCTTACTGGCTGGGGTATTCCCAGAATTCCAAACCACTAACCGTCACTAACCCAAAGGAGATGACCATGCATCGACTAGTTGTGAAAGGAACAGCCACCAAATTGGAGGTGGTACACCACACGACTCGCAGTCACGAGGGAGAGTAAAGCTCATACGCACCAAAATTTTTGTCAGGAGTGGAAGCATTCTACAAATTGGATATGCTGATCTTTCATCAAATTAGTATGATGATGAAATAAAATGAGAAGATTGAATGTTTGAGAGTGTGAACACTCCAATTGCTTCGCCACAAACTATCTTGAAACCAACATATCATTGAAATCAAAATCTGCTCGGAGAGTATGTTACAAACCAAGATGAGATTTCTGGCTGAAGAATTCCCTTACCTCTATCAAAACTCACATGTTGAACCATTTGGGTACAATTCCCCGAATCCAATTCCCATCAGTGACGGAAAACGACGTGGCACTTCCAAGAGATTTTGGGTGCACAGCCTAGACATGCATACCACGCCTAGCAGAACATCTTTCAGTAACATACCTTCTTGAAAATCAAAGCATCCCTTAATTTCATTGAGATTCAACATAGAAGATCCAAAATGACAGGTTCTGAAAATGGTTTAAAGAGAAAATGGTTTTAAACAGGTAACATATGGTTTCACTGTACTTTCGTACTGGATATGGCCTATTAATATGTTGGGTTCCATATGGTTCCATGGTGCATTTGCAGTCGCTGCGTTTCTACCCGAACCGTTCGCGCCCGGTCGCCCGGTGAAAAAAGGCCTGCGAGAACCACGGAGCGCTGCAGGACCAGCGGCTCCTGGCTGGAGATAGAACATCTACCAGATGGTTCAATAAAAAAGGGGAAAATCGTGAAATTGATTGACATGGCACCAGGTTTACCATGACATTTTAGTGATATATATAATATGATATAATGGCTATTTCGTGGTGATATGGTTAAAAAACAAGTTTCCTCTTTGGTGATTAAACATGATTTGCTGGAAAATCCACTTTAAGCGAATGCTGGAGTGTCCAGCCATGTTTGATGACACTGGAGGGTACCTCCGGTTGAAATTCAGGGTTGTTTGATGGCTATATCATGGGGATATGGTAAGAGAGCACGTTGCTGGCTGGCGCTTGCAACTCATCTGGATAATAATGCACTGTAATTATAGTCAATTATAGTCAATTACCCATAGGATCCATGTATGCTATATATATGGTAACATTTACCATCAATATACCCCCAATGTTAGCATATATACCATACATGGATCCTATGGGTTATAATTAGTCAATTATGATCATTTTCCAAGGTACGAGTAGGGTTGAAAACACATATATGTTTGAAGATGTTTTCATATTTCATAGTTGGGTTTACCGAATGATTTTCACGAACCGGATCTGGTAAAAATGGGACAGAACAATAAGCCTTACGATTGGATTACCGCATGAAATGGTTTGGGGAAGATCTGGTGATATAAATCCAACGGCTTTACCCCTGGATCGAGGAACATCAACAGCTTTTGGTAAGTCATTTGACAAGGTTTGTGATGCTTCGTATCTTCATGGCGTTGGGTAGTGATCGTTCAAGAAACCAGACTTGAGTTTACCATTAAACCAATGGGAATTCCAGGGTCCTCCATATATAGGCCTTACATATGGTAGGCACCTCCATTTTAGGATCCTGAAATGGCCATTGATTAAAACCATTTTGTTTCAAAATTTATTGGGGACTTTCCCAACACGGCTGACAGTCGACCAATTCACTCGTTGGTTTTTCCAATGGGATGCTGCCCGAGGTTCAGAGGTTACCAGGCTAACAACAGCACCTTTATGGTTTTGTGTACAATGTTCTTCAACATCATCTATATTGATATATCATATAACATGTTATAACATGTTCACTTAAAAATACTATGGTTCAAATGGTAAATGTCACTTTACTGTATCTATAAAATGGTAAACGTCAGGTCTGACTTGTGCCTACTTTCACACCAATGTAGATCATCGCACCCCATGTCCACCTACAGCTGAACAAATAAGATCCTTGCTGGCGGGTTTACCAATCGGACAGGAAAATCACAGCTCATCGAAGTCCAAGTGTTCTCTGTATCCCTGAAATCCCAGATGTTTTTGCCATATATTCTGGCTGAACTTAATAAAACAGCTGAAACATGAGGCCATGAGGCCAGTTGTCGACGAACCGTTAAACCATTCCAGTGACGGAAAGCGACGTGAGATCATAATCAGATTCACCCAAATCTCACCAACTTACCTACTATAGTTGAGTTGGTTTAATTATTTCTAAGTATGATGAATAAATCCCAGAAATACGGATTATGAATATACGTATGGTCTTATAAACTTACAAACATCCAGTAACGGTAAGATGGATAATGTGGAAACCAGCATATTTATGGTGTTATTAAACTGATAAATCACCATTGTCAATATGGAAATCAACGAACTAAATGGGCCACTTTCAATAGCAAATTGTTAGTCATTAACAGAGGGTAATTTCCTATGTTTTCCCTAGAAACATCTAGAAAAATGGTCTACATTCATGGTGAAATCCTTCACATCTATGTGTTGGTTTAACCTTTCAGACATAACTGGTTCATCAATAATGGTTAACCTTTAATATAGATCTATATAGTGGTACCACTATTACTGATGCTTACAACCATGGTGAATTGCTATAATTTCCAGGATATCTGGATGGTATACACATGAAAATCAATGAAAAACACCCATCTTCAACATGGACCTGGATGGCACTCCTCCACTTGGATGCGTCCCTGCACCCGCAGCACCATGAAGCGCTCACCGGGTGTGTCCCGGACAGCACGGCGTAGCTCCGACCTGGATCGGGAAACTCATGGGAGGTGCAGGGGAAACACACCAAAAACGTGGGAAACCCATGGAAAACCCATGGAAAACCCATGGGAAACCCGTGGAAAACCCATGGAAAACCCATGGAAAACCCATGGAAAACCCACGGTTTCCCTAGGGAAAATGATCTAAGCTGGAAAAACT